GGGAAAAAACCTGCCGTCAGAAGCCGAGTACATTCTAATCTATCCGCCGTTATTTTAGCTATATTATTTTCTGGCGCGGGCGTCCCGCCGTCTCCTTCCAGTGCTTGGCCTCCTCAGCACCTGAAAATCAAACAGCGCCACAGAAGATCGTCCGCACCAACGGCCTCTGCCCTTATATTTTCGATCCCCCTTTACCTTCCCCCCCTAATGTGCTTATTACTATGCCAGTTTTATTTTACTTATTATATTAACATTTTACTTACCACTATAACTATGACTTATGACTTATTCTTAACTGTTTACTTACTTAACATAAAATTACTGATTAACTTACATATTGTTAGCTTATGACTATTTATTTCTCTCCAGTCTAGGCTCCGCTCAAGCTAACCGGTGCTGTTTTCCCACTCCCCTAATTTCAGTTTCCCTAATGGTCCGAACCTTTCCTAAAAAATGTTCCTAATTCTCCATGAATTTAGACCTTTTATCACCTAAAAATGTTTTGGGCGAGCGTTACGTTCTGTTTAGAAAGTAGTAATTTCCCATTCCCATCCATTTTTATTCTCCATGTTTCGGTTGCACAGCAAATTAAGAGTATGTGGATCCAGCTTCCTATCACCGCAGAGCACACAGATGCCATTACCACTTGCGTCCTTTAGTCTACGCTGCATCCATCCCCCAACCCTGAACCAAGCGTATCCCCCTCTTGCGTCCTTTCCGAGAGTATGAACGTAACCTTCGCAACCCCATAACGGACTCGCATGAATTTGAGCTACTAGCGAACGTTTTCAGCCGTTGCTGCCCAAATCTCTTGCCTTTAATATCCGCAAGTCTATTGGAAATCAGCCGTTCTATTTCACGGGTTCCCCTATCTCCCACCATATCCGGAGAGACGTCTCCAACCCTGCGCGCGTCAAGTAGCCGTTTAATTTTGTACGCCCAGTAGCGATGGTCGCTTTCCCTGCCATTGCACTCTAAAGCACCTATGTATGAGTGTGTCAGCCTGTTCATCTGCTAATTTAATCCAAAGTTTAATAGATTTCATTTTAAAATCTCTCCAAATTCCTAACTAGATTTATTATATAAAAACTGTAAGTGACGTATGGGGGAGAAGATTATCTGCGCACGTTTTCTCGAATTCCAGAATCTCTTCCCGTCATTTTAACTATAAATATTTGGCAGATGAGTATAAGTTAAAAACAAATTAATGAATAAATGAGTAAAAATAAATTTTAAAAAATCGCGAGATTAGCAATATTTGAAGAAATAAACATTTTCGTTTCCGGGTTATAGAAAACTTATTTGCATCCATAAACGAATTGCAAGTGATTTTTCTGCATTGCCAACAAAATAGGAGCTCGATCTTACCTCTACTCCTACCATTACAAGCAAAAGGAGAGTTCAACAAAACGTGCGCATAGTGAAGCTACATTTACGTCCAAAAAGCAAAACAAAGAGACATCTCAGCATTTGCTCAATGGATTAGAGAAACTGTACAAAAACCTGTTTAATGTCATCTAGCAGTGCCTTGTAAAGTAACGTACATGTATTGTATGTGGATTTCTGATAGTGAGCTGTTGATGCTGACATTTGATGAACGTGATTTTTACGTCGTGTGTTGTAATTATAAATATCAGTATTGCATGAAAATATGTTCTCACCGTTAAGTAAGTCACTTTCGACATTTTTTACAGGTTCTTAAATATATAGGCAATGCAGTGGTAAGATTCCAAGCTCAATGAAAAGAGGCTTGCAGGGATCTCGCGGATGGCATTTTTTCATTATTCGAATAAATTCCTTTTGCAATCTAAAGGTCCGAGTATTACATGATGAGTTTCCCCATAATTTTATGCCATATCTCAGGCGGGAATGTACATTTGCTTGTGCAATTAAGTGATTTATATTGTTAAAAGCTGTAAAATAGTAACAATAACAAATAGGCACTTTGCCAAACTTCCAGGCTCTACTCTTTACAAATCTAAGAACATTTGGTGCGCAAACTAAATTTTCTCAAGCACATATCTACACAAACGTGACAACTGCTTTTCATACAGCTAAGTCAGCAATGACACGTGTAATTCACAGAACGTCAGCTGCCGTCTTGCGGCGTGGAATGCAGTTGTTGCATTCCAATATTATATGTCCTGACGGTTAGAATTTTTTTCATATTACATTTCCACGGTATTTTTACCTTGTTACATCTGTCGGGCTGCCCATCTGTCAGACTGTTCGCCCATCGTTCAGGCCGTCTGTCCGGTGTATGTGAACAACATTAGTGCCTAAACTATGCGTTCATTTTTTCCAAACTGAAGAAACCCTTGTCGAACTGACCTGAGTCAAAGCCCCGTGATTTTAAAATCATAAGTTTTGGAGTTACTTTAATGAAGGGCCACTGACATTTTCAAAATTTTCTCAAAAATGGTTCCAAATGTTTAGTTTAAACTTTCGTTAGGAATAGTGCTAAATGTACTCTATTAGATGACGTCAACGCAATTTTTCCCTTTCCTTTTATTTCATAAATTACAAAAATGTATTTTTTTACTTCTCTCATGTTGTTAATATCTACATTAACTGTAATTTGTTAACATTATTGCATTCACTACTTTGTGTGCTTTAAATGATGGCATATGTAGTGTGTCATATTATGAAGTTTTCGTGTAATTTTGCGCAAAACATTTACTTTTTTTAAAATTCTCACAATCCGCTCCAAATTTTCTCCACATACCAGTATGTAATGAGGGTGGTAAACAATATTGTGCTAGTCTCATTTTCAGGAATTTCCCCGTTTTTTCGAAAATTTCAAAATGTTAACATTTCAAAACTACAAAATTAAAGAGTTTTTTTTTTTTAGATAAAATTGTAAAAAAAAAGCAGCTCATTAAGAAAGTCTTGAACAATTTTTTGAATAATCGAGTGGGTTTTTCGTAATTTGCGCTTGGAATTTACGCAATTTCTAGAAGAAATATTTTGTCAAAAACTGCTCCATTTTTTCCACAGATAAGAAAAGAAAGGCTTACATGAATGGCGCTAATCTCATTTTTGTTGAACTCTTAATATTTTCGAAATAGCGTAACATTTGGAAATGACAAAATGGAATGTTGAGATTTTTGCCGGAAACCGAATGTGTTCCAAAAAATCAGATCACTAAAGAAGGTCATGCAATTTTTTTGTTGTAGAGTGCGCGCTAGGGGGAGCGCTGCGTGACCTTGTCTGGCGGACTGTTACATTCAAAATATCCGTTAAGCACTAGTAGCAAAAGAGTCAAAATTACTCAAAAGAATCCCTATCTGACATATGACTATGTATATCTTTGATTCGTCGTTTTACGCTCGTCATGATAGACTGAAAAAATATGTATAGTTTTATTTGAAAATTAATAGTGCTTTAAATATCTCGTAATATACAAGTGGTAAAGTAGAAATGAATACACATATCAATTAGCCTCATTCCCTTTTTTTTTTCGTGAAAACTGCATTGCAATAAACTTCAACAGTTGAAAAGTCATAGGAGGTGCTAAAGTAACGTGATTCATCCTGGGTTAGAAGGTAGTAATAAATTAACATATTCCAAATCGTAGAACATTAGTAACTTAATTATTTTATTAGTATTAGAGTTGGGTATTTATCAACTCTGTCTATTTTATGACTGACCCATAAATAATTTGAAATCGGAATGGATGCAGATATTCTTCGCAGTCGCTTTGGTGATTCTGGCGTTTCCAAATAATAGCTGAGGTGTTAGTAGCGCAGAAATTGTCATATTTCAATATTACGTAGCTGTTTCTAATAATACGAGAAAGTGTGTGCTGTTCTAGCCCCAGTAGGTTTTTTTGTTGTTTGTTTTTTTAGAATCTTACCACTAAATTATTGAAGATAAAGGATTTTTTCCTTAATGAAATTTGTTCTTGAATAACATAGTTTGAAATATAAACAGGTACAATTTTTCGAAAATTTGAGTCTCTTCGCGTAATTCTGCGTGAAAAATAGGTGATTTTATTTTATTTTTAAACTGTTTTTTCTTATAAACGGCACCAATTTTTTTTAATTAAATCGTGGCCTCGGAGGACGCAAGAGGTCGCTTATAAGAATGGTGCAGGTCTCATGTTCAAACACCAGACTTTTCAAAAATTACAAAGGTTCAGTTTTTTACAATGTTCTCCGCGTTCAATAAAATGGTAAGTTCACCTTTAATAGTCGGGAAGAATGTATATAAAGATATGTGTTAGGTAATGAGTACGCATTCGTAATGAGATATATTGATGGCCTTCGGTTGTGGATGCTCAATTTTTCCATTTCACAACGCCGCGCTCGCAACAGCTCGCTGCAGCGAAAGCCGCGACCGCCGATGGATCGCATTATTTAATAACTTTTAATTTTTTTACTTCCTCACATATTGCTTTTACAGTCTATTTTAAGAATAAAATACGCACAGTACTGGCAGCGTATAAGTGACTCTGACAGTTCGATGCGCCGCTGTCACACATTACTATGCTCATGGCACCATTTACGTGGCAGATAAATTAAATTTCCTAACACCACTTACTGACAGGCGACGACACGTCTTGATATTTTGTCCATAACTTTCCTGAAAGCCAAACCTTACCTGGCAGTGCTGCCTGGGTGTGAGAATGTCAACAAATCTTCGCAAGCTGATTGCTTCAGAGCACGTCACATAACTTATCACAGCACATGGCGAGAGAAAAGTCAAGAGTCGCTTACACGCTGCCGGTACTATAGAAATATATTTTTATTTAAACTTTTGAATGAATAATTATATTTTTCAGGCTTCGTTTATTTATGAGATAAAGTGATATTTGAAGAATAAGAAAAGCAGAAATTGTGACAATATTACATAATGATAACATTACAATATAGGGAGAAAGTTTGTGCTGTTGTACCACGTCTAGTTTTATTTTTTTGCACTTTTCTTTCAGCATCTTACATTTTTCTTTCATGTCACAGATTTTCGAAGGAATACAAAGCCCTCAAAACTCCATACAGTGTTCAGTAATTTTGGTGCAATTACCTACATGGCAGTGAAAGACCAAAAGGCAGTGTTTGAGTTTAGCGACAGGTAAGTACGTCTTTAGTTGACAATAATGTAAATTTAGGAAATAATTTGGTTTTGTGTAACAATTTGAAACTCCACAATAACAAGGTCCAATTTCTCCATATAAACTCCTTTGAGACATAGGCATTTTTCTCTGTAGCACGAAACCTTGCGTTGGCCGAATGAATGGGCGTTACTTCGTACTTCGAAGTGCTGTACACTCTCATACCTGGACAGTGGCTTGCTGTTTGTGAAATGCAGATCATACACTTCACGGTTGTGAAGAGGTAAATTATCTAAGTGATAAAAAGGAGCCAAGTTAAGAGTTTGGCAGGTGAGAGGCAGCAGTTCAAAGTCCAGCAGAAAATATAAAGCTTTTTTTTAAATCACCTTACTCCACACCACATCTCTAGGATCAAAAAATGTAATTTTTTGAGATGTTGAGGTGTTGTTAACATTATTGAAAGATGAAATAATGGAAATCATCTTTGTCAACTTAATTTATTAAAAGAGATGGATTCGCTGACATCATCAGTCTAGCTACTCGTGCTCAAGGTCATTGGTCAGTAAACGATATTGAGCTACGAACACTAAAACAACAAAATTGAGAAAAATGTACTTCGTACTGTTTTTAATAACTTTTTACAATAGCATATGAAAAGTAGGATATCAAGATTAATTTATACACACCGCACGTTACGATATTTGTGATCTTTGAGGCGAAAGGGACGAAAATCGTGCATAGCGTTAGTGTCACACTTGTGATTCTTCCCATATTTGGCTCCCTTTGATTATCGCTAGCTTGGAGCCAAGACAAAACGCTGTTAGCACTTCTTAAACTGCAATCAGATATCCAAGCATTCCAAAGGAGTTATTCCAGGTATGCGCAGCAAGAATCTCACAATTAAGGGGAAAACTTCTCAGAGGAGATAGTGAAAAAGTGAACCAAATTCAGGTTGTAAATTATTGCAGTAGACAAAAAATGTATTAATCAGTATAGTTCAATTACATCCATGTTGAATTAGCTTCACAAACACAAATCCTGAGGGTAAGACATGAATGTTTTCAGTTGTGTCTGTGGCGAGAGGTATTCGCAATCCGTCGATATCAATGATACCAATTCAGCCTCTCTCTCGTAAGATGCAGTTTAAGATTAGATGATTTGGAACGCAAAGTTTGTAAATATGTTAGGTGTAAGACCTGATTGTGCCGTTCCGAGAACAATTAAGAAATTTTAATTTTGGCGATTACATGGTTCCTTCATTAAGTTTTAAAATGTTCGATTACATGGTTCCTCCTGGGCCGGCCTCCGTGGTTCCCCTATCACGCCGGAGTAGCCCAATCCTGCCACTTACCGTGCTTGCGTCAGGTACACCGAAGTGGTGTGCCCGTATTTTCGTTGAGCACTAATACTGCACCAACGTGGCCCAAGAGTCCCTGCTTCAATCTCTAGGGTCGTCGCTCATTGGCGGGCTTTTTTGCTCTTGTCGAAAGATTTTTATTAAAAGCCAAATTTTGATAATAGGAAAAGTTTAAATATGTTTCGACCATCTAAATCACAGTGATACCAAACCGGCGGAGTTAGCTTACTGTTGCTGCTTCTGCCCGGGAGGTTTTAGAGTTCGAGCCCCGACGGGGGCAGATTTTTGACTCGCTACATGGCCGGGCCCAATTCAGTCCGTGCCGAGGGGAGAATTCTAGCGGCCAGCTGCTCTGGTCGATGACTTCTCCAATCAATACCACGTGAATGCCGGATCAGGACCCTAACAAACGGGCCACGGATCGCGCACGATCTTTCCTTCCTCTTCCTTGTCCTACCATCACCCGTTACCTACACACCCCTGCATGCACTACACTGCCGCACCTGTCGGCAGACCGGTGTGGAGCTTCGGGCTTGTGTTGCGGAGGGGTGATACTTGGCGTGGAAGCCCACTTGCAGGTCTCTCCAGGGAGGACACCGCCCTCCCATTCGTTGCCCCTTCGAGACACGATCACAAGCGGCCCGGAAACGTCAATCAGTTCCAAAGAATCAACATCTTTAAAAGGTCTCATGTACATTATTGGTTTGTAAAAGGTGTGTATTTGTTGAGCTATTTTGACAGAACGTGTCATTTTTTTGCAGTAATATAAGTATCTGTTTAAGGATTACATTCAGACGTAGAGAATTTGTGAAGTCAGTTCACTTTTGGTGACATTCCTTTGAGTGAAAGGTTGCCTCCATCAGCACGGTTATTATTCATTGCTATATCCAAATTGTGCGTTTAAAATCACTAAGAAGAATGTCGGCATCCCGCGGATTTTCACTTACTGAGGTATTACATCCCCCGGCTTCCTGCAAAGTTACTTTTGTGCCTTTTTGTTTTCAACGTTACTCTCCAGTACTCCCAATTTTCTACTCCTACTTACATTTTTTGTATCCAGTTTTGTTCAATTATGTATTGTATAAAAGTATCCAAACTTTAGGAGTACCTTTAAAAGAAGTTTAAGTTAATCATTCATTATTGTGTAATGAACTTCAACTTTCTTTTCAGAACTGCCGTGCAAGAAATTCTGAAATGCAAGTTCCTGAAAGTGCAAGGATCTCGTGTTGATTGTGAACCATTGCAAAGATTTTTGCATGTCGGTGAGAACTTGTGATGTAGTAGTACGCCTAATGCTTAACCGCACATGTAGTAAGATGGGGCAATATATATCCCCTCTGCTTTTCTTTTAAGTTATTGTTGGTTTTAAAATAAAAGTATGGTAGCTCATGTATTTGCCCATTAAGGTTATATTTGAAGTAGTTATATAACACTTAGCAGTTTATATTTTTACATATTTAATTTATTAAATACTTCTAAATGAAGTCTCAGGAAAATAGAAAACCTGTACCAGTAGTGCTTTACTGAAGACATTTGTTCCTGTTTTAACTCTCTCATAACTACAATTACTTTTAAAATGTACAACAAATAGTCCCACGTTTCGTCTCAGTCTGTTGTTAAGAGGACCGCCAGGTAGCATCTCCGCGTACGCGCCTCTCTCTTACGCGCTCCTGCGTCACTAACCAGCCAGCGGCCAGAATTAGGAAGGAATAAGGATAGGGACGCTGGGCTGGGTTTATGATATATTCTAATAACCATTCACACAAGTCTCTTTGGACCTCTTTAGTTATACTACATTACATACATAAAAGTATAAAAAATGGGTTTTATATCAGAAAAGCTCGTGTTTTTGTTAATATATTTTTTTTCCTTCAATCTTGGTTCCAATGCTTCGGATGCTCCAGCTGCAAAGCAATGTGCGATGCGGTTCATTTAAAAAACATTGGTTACAGTCGCTTAAGGGACCTATGGGATTAAATTAGCCCTCAGATGTTGCACTGATTGCTCGCTTAAATGAAAGAGTCGATTTAGTGTGTTTTTCCCCCAAGGTTGATTTTCGTAGTGAAAGCTCTGTCCAAGAGACCTTCGAAGGGACTGCGCGCATGTTGGGCACCAATGCGATTCCGACATTGATATTCCACTGTGCCAATTGTTGTTCAGGAAGGCTTTGTTCATACTAAGGATTAAATTTTATATCGCTTTCATATCATATTTGGAGAAATGAAACTGAAATGGAGTGGGGAGCTCTGGTACCGTACATGTGGCTCCTTAAATATTGTAACATGATTCCAGGATTCGCCCTGCTCCCCTCCCCTTTTCTCCGGATGAAGCTCAGATCGAGGTCATGTCGCGCTAATGCCGTTTACAACAGCACCAATTTTCATTTTGCACTTCTGAAAATGTACCGTGTTATTACAATTTGCCTGAAAGTGGTGTCTAAATGAGTAAATTAACAAAATAGCTATTAAGGGGCTTGTTGCTACAGGAAAAGGGTGATATGTTAACAGGGGTGCGATTTCCATGCACTATTTGATTTCATTGTTTAATATTGAACGTTTAAGACAATAACTTATTCTCTATACTTTTTTCTTTCATTTTTTTGTATTAATGTTATTACATGTCACTCTGTTTATAGCGATTTTTACTGCGATATTGTATCTGATGACGACTCAGAAGCAGGTTTAGAAGTGTTGTCTGTACTGGCGTTGGACAAAATAATATGAACTGACCTACACTAAATATTTATATTAATGTGTTGTGCCACCATTTTCTTCAAGAACGGCTGCAAATCGCCCCGGAATAGATTTGTAGAGTGGGTAGCCCTACGAAATGTGCTACCATTCTTGAACCAAAACATCCGCCAATTACTTCAACGATGGTGGAGCTGGAAATTTGCTCCTCATTCCTTAAATGCCTCATAAAGGCGATTGTGCTGGCCAGGGAAGATGTTTCATGATATTATTCTGCTCCGCAAACCAGGCTTGTACCATTTTTTGGTGTGGTTATGGGCGCATTATCATCTTGCAATTTAGCAGCGTTTGGCAGCAATATGCTGGCCATTATAAGGACTTCATTGATTTAGTTATTCGCAGTAATCCGGTCATTGAGGGTAACGAGAGGTCCAGCTGAATACCACGATATAGCCACCCAAATCATAACGGAACCTCCATCGTGCTTGACTGTACGAAGCAGGCAGGCTAGATAATAGACTTGCTTTGGGGTTGCCCATACATTAAGCGCAGTTTGTAGGAAACATTCATCGGGCCATTCCACTTTCTTCCAGTCATCAGGTGTTTTACGATCGTGGTACCATTTCTTTCGCAGATGTCCATTATCTTCCGTTTTAAAGGGTTTCGTAATGGCAGCCCATCCACGAATGTTAGCTTTGTGAAGATCTCGCCGTACTGTTTTTGTGGAAACACTATTACTCAAGTAAGTGTTGAGTTCAGCAGTCACTTTGCCGCGGTAGTTTTAGTTGTCTCACTACAATCCGTTTTTAATGTTCGTCGGTCTCTGTTAGTTAACTTGGGCTTTCGCCCTAAATTCCTCTTCCCCATTTACCATGTTTTACCATGTTTTGTGTATACTGATCGTTGAACAGTGTAGCTGTTTTCGTCACAGATGCTCCCGCTAACTGCGCTCCAACTATTTGCAAAGGTCATGGCAAAGTCCATCTTTAATTCTGGGCACCGGAATGTAGGCCCTCGACGTCTCCCACTCTTGTGACACATCGTTTCTGTTGATTTATTTTTGTCGCCTTCAGGTGGAATTCTTTCAAGAAGGTGTCTCCCTGACAAGCAATGTAAATCATTCACCAATCAACGTTCACATACTGCTCTTTTGTCATGTGAATGAGCAGATAATACTTGCTTGATTTCAATTGTCCCAGTATGATTATTTTCCAAATAATAAATGTATTCAAACCAGTGTCATTTAATAATCTTCTAAACGATTTCATATTACATTTCATTCTTTCTCCCTTACAATAAGATATAGATTTATTGTAATTAAGAACGTACGCAGGGTTTTTCTTTTCTTTTTTTCTCTTTGTAATGACTGTTTTGAATTCATCCTTGTGCTAGGTGCTTATCATAGAAATAGCCTTTTTATCCATCCATTTCAACATTGAAACGGGGCCCCAAAAGATATACTCACCTCGCTTGAATTTCTTTTCTCGCAATATTTAAGTACATTTTTCTGTTCAAACGTAATGTTCCTACATAATCTGTTCCCTTTTTTTAAACATCGCAGCAAATTAGGGGCAGTTGTAGTAATTGTCCACCCATAAAGTGTGGCCCTGATTTAGCAATGACCGTATTAAATTTAGGGCAATTTCTATCATTTTATTTACAGTATGTCTGACAGTCGCAATAATTTCATTCGATACGTACTACATAGAATACGTATTGTAAATTAATTGTTTCTTTAAGAAACTTCCACAAAAAGATAATTCAAGAGATATTAAAGTACTAGTATCAATACTCGCCGTAATATACTGCTTGACTGTGCACGGCACCGCCAAGCGACCAGCGCCTGTAGACGGCACACCGCAAATAGAAAAAACAGGTAAAGGTCACTTCCGTCCTGAGACGGCTTACCGCGAATACAAAAAAAAATCCAACCCTTCCAGGTACGGCATATTGCGTTTAGAAGAAAGGAAAGCTGAAGGGTTAAGCGAGTTGGCTGTTTCAGTAGTTTTCACCGAATTCAAGACGCGTCCTGATTAAAGTATATTTACAAGATTGGTTAATTGTGCTCTAAGTTGGGAAATAGACCTGAGTACTGAAATTTTCAAGAATAAAAGAAAGTATAATCGTGTACAATACAGAACATGAATTTAGCCGAGCATTTATTAAGTGCGGCCTAAAAAAATGTATTGGCAACAATACTTCAAAAGTTTGGCATATTGTGCCGATAAATTGAAAAGTTAATGTTCACAAATGTATTGCATTTTATTTGCCTTGACATATTACTGTTCTTTCTAGTGTAAATGAAATGTTTTCATAAAGACTCATCATGTTTTATGCGTGAAGATATTCTCTCAACAAAATTTTACTAAGAAATGTATTGAATTGTCTCTATTGCTGTTTTTACTTTTAAAAAGCTTACTATATAGGTGGAAAACATAGAAAATCAATTAAATAAAATGTAGAATGTCTATCTATTTAGCGGTTTATTTTTAAGCCTTGGCCGTTTTCCGCATCCCAATTTCCATGCCTCTTTATCCATACATCGTTTTCTTCATTTCTCTTTTTTTTCATGCTTTCAGTTATTCCATGTGTCCATATTCTTATCGCGTCTTCGCCTGTATTACAATTTGGTATCACTCCCAAACTTTTTGAGGAAGTCTAACTGATTTCAACCTTCTTATATGCCATACCATTTTTAGTTGTCTCATTTCGATCGTATCGTTCAAGGTTGTTTGCACTTTCATTTTATTTCTTATTTCATCATTTCTTATTTTATCTAACAGAGAAAGTTTACAACATCTCCGCCAGAACATCATTTCTGTTGATTGACATTTTTTTGATTAGTTTATCCATGTTCCATATTCTTATCGGTCTTCCCCGTTATCTACAATTTGGTATCCACTCCAACTTTTGAGAAGTCTAACTGATTTCAACCTTCTTATATGTCCATTACCATTTTAGTTGTCTCATTTACGATCGTATCGTTCAAGGTTGTTTTGCACTTTCATTTTATTTCATCATTTCTTAATTTTATCTAACAGAGAAAGTTTACAACATCTCGCAGAACATCATTTCTGTTGATTGACATTTTTTTTGATAGTGTCCAGACTTCTGCCCCATAGAGAGTGTGGTACTCTCTATGAAGGAGCTATATATGCGTTTCTTTGTCTTATTGAAATAATTGAGTTTCATATACTGCGGTTCAACTGTCTTGTGGCTATTTTTCACATCCTGTTCGTCTCTACCATCTGCTGTTAGGGTGACTCCAATTACTTATATTGTGTTGTTACCTTTAATTAGTCCTATATCAGTCTTAAAATCATGGGACATACCTCCACCACCTAATATTCAGTTTTTTGTAAATTTATTTCCATCCACCATTTTCCATACATCTTCTACTAATTTTCTGAACATATTATAATTACATCGTCTTCATCTTCAGCATTATCACCTGGTCATCTGCAAATAGTAGACTAAACAATGTTATCTCACCAATATTCACACCCATGCTTCTGCACTTTTTTTTTCCATCTTTTTAGGGCTTTATCCATGTATTTATCTTAAACAGGTTGGAGATATACAGCAGCTTGCGTAATCCTTTATTATACTGGGAAGTTGACTGATAAACATTTTCCACTTTTACTTGACTTTTGTTATCTTTATAAAGTTGTTTGACTGCATTTATGTATGTTGTTGATATTCCTTTTTCTTCCATTGCCCCCCCACCACCACCACCACCACCACTTCTTATACTGGTACATTATCATAAGCCTTTTTGAGGTTAATGATAATTATGTGAAGATGTAGAATGTATTTGGTAAGTAATATTTGGGTAGATGAGCAATATTGTAAATGAGTTTGTCATGATATCTCCTGCGATACTGAAAGAAATATTTTGTGACAATGGTAAAATTTCATATTTTTTTACAGATTAAACTTTTGTTTGTTCAAATAATTATGTAGGTGATGCTTTTACATATATCACTAATTATGAGCATTATAGAAAACAATAAATATCCAGAAAGTGTAGTTTGACTTTTATTAATAGAAAAACTATATAAACAAGTTAGTTTCTTGCATAAGAATTAAACCTCTTCTGCGTTCCGTTCTCTGACCAAGTTTTTTCACTGTCGATTGTGATGTTTTATAGACGTAAAAATTACTTGATAATAATATCGCTTATTTAAAATGCAATGAGACCGAGTAAATTTGTATTTTTTAACAGAGCGATATCAATTCCAAGTGGAGCTCCACGCCGATTTAATGCAGCTGCAAAGTGAGGAGACGTTCAGGAAGTTCACGGCTCGTCTGTGCCAGCAAGCCGCTGCCAACAAGCGCGAGGACGTGCAGTCGCTGTGCCAACAGTTGGAGTCGGTCGCGCGCGCTGCCTACCCGTACTGCAAGGCCCACCCCTTCGGCTCCCGAGTCACTCGGTTGGGATTGGAGGGTTGCGATTTGGACATTTTCCTCGATTGTGGTGAGTAAATACATTAATTCAGTAATAGTTCTTTATGTAACAAGTGCTCTAAATTTGTCGTTAAGGACGAGTCTGGAAGTTTAATTGTGAGGCGGAGCGGTAGCGGAGCTGAATAGTTACCCTTCCGGCTGAAAGAGGACATGCGACATACAATGTTGTTTTTTTTTTATTTCTAGTTATTCAAAATAAAAATTTAACACGTTCATGACGTAAGAATTGTCATTACTCTCAAAGTTCTGTAGCAAGGGTTGTTGGTACAGCGAATTGATACCGTTTTTAAATAACAATCTCATTGCGCAGGAGGACCAAAAGGACAAAAGAGGACAAGTGAGGCACAGTGGGGGAAAAAGAGGACGAAGAGAGCAAGGAGACTAAATGAGCAAAATTGGAAAAGGGGAAGAAAAGGACAAAATTGTGAAGAATACAAATTAGACAATTGGACAAATGAGACGGACGAAATTAGACATACGGTTAAGGGGACAAAAGGGACATATTTATCCAAAAATGTATTATCACTGGTAAAATCTAAACCGGAGACTCCGCTAAAATATTTTAATGTACTCTCGAGCATTGTAGCGGCCGTTGCTATGGACGCTAAAAAGCGTTGTTTCAAGGGTTGGTTGCAAAGGAGTTTAGCGTGTTAATAAAAAAAAAACATTTTAAACATTGTGAAAGGTGATTTTGTAGTTTCATATTCGTTTACAGATCTTTTATAGGTTTTTCACATGCACATCTTTTCTTTTTTTCCTGGTCACTTTGGGGCTATATAATTTTGCATTTTGCCATTAAAGCACATTTTATGTAAGCTGCGCAATTGTTTTCTGGTGAAGGTAGTATCTGAAAACAGGCACACATTTTTGTTGATAAAATATGGGGCTTTGCTCCATAAATGATGGAATGTGAACTTGATGATCGGATTCTAGAAGAGTTTCTTGGTAATCATCTTTGATGTTACATGTTGTTGTACTCTACTTTTTGTGATATCAATGTCGGTTATATGTCGCGAAATTCACTTTCATTAGTGTAGATTACTTCCTCTACCACGTTGTATAGTCAGAATCCATGATAGTTCCATTGATACCAAAAAATCGATTGACGTGAAACCACGTGTCTGACCGTCCGTGGTCAACGCTAACGTTTAAACTATTCAGTTTCCTCTAAAATTGATATTAAGTTCAGCACGCGCTATCATGTAGAATTTTGATGAAATTTTGTGCTGAGTCCCATATGCCTCAAAGGAACTTTTGGGAAGTACCTTAAGTGAAATAGATTTTGAGATATAGCAGTCTCTTTGACCCAGTGGCGTCGTAGAGGACAACTATAAGAAAATGGCTGTCGACGAGGTCGAATTTACTAGATTGCCTTGTCTTGGTCTCCTGGTACTGAGCAGCCCGTTTCTATTTTTTCCTGAACAGCCTCCGCCAAAGCATTAGGTCCATCGAAATGAACAACTGCCTGCCTTTCTTGGACGTCCTCGTCAGCAAACGGGAAGACGGCACCTTGGGACACTCGGTCTGCTGGAAACCAACCCATACGGACAGATACCTCCACGCGGATTCGCATCACCATCCTCTTCAAAACTAGTGGTGTTAAAGACTCTGGCCGCAAGAGCTGTGAAGGTGTGCGACGAGCGATCTCTTCCTGATGAACTCGAGAAGCTTGAACACACGTTTAGAGCTAACGGCTACTCTCGATCTGCAGTCAAACGAGCGCGCGCCTGTGTTACGGGCCACTCTAGAGGGCGCGGTGCTTCCGAAGTTCGCAACAACGACGAAGGCCTCCACACTAATTCGGAGACAGAGCAGACGACGAGTACTCGATTAGCCGTGCTTCCGTACGTCCGCAGCGTCACAGATCGCGTGGGAAAACTACTACGGAAGAACAACATCCGGTTTTCACGGCACCCGACAAACTCCACAAGGCCCCGGTGCGCATTAAAGACGCTTTGCCACCTCTCCAGTCGGCAGGCGTAAACGAAGTTCCCTGCAGCTGTGGTAGAACGTACGTCGGTGAGACCGGGCGCACGGTGACTGAACGACTTGGGGAACATATCAGCCATTACAACAAAAACGAAACCCACTGTTCGGCCATAGCACTCCATTCCGAGGTCTCTGGACATGCCATTGAATTTGACGAGACCTGACTCGTGCACAGTGAAAACTGATACTATCCTAGAAGCATCAAAGAGGCAATAGAAATTAGTAGACGGCCGCACAATATCAACGCGGATGCAGGCCGTAATCTAAACAACCTCTGGAAGCACATTTTACCACCAACCATTTGTTAATAGGGTGCTCCAAACCAACTAGAAGCAACAGATACCACAAGCTAGACATGAATCCCGAATGGGATAGGCTTGTCTGACGAACAAGCCAAGGAAAGGACAAGGGAAAAGGAAGCCTGCGACATGACAGGCGAAGCGTCGGCCTCTCAACCAACAACGCGGCGCCACGCGGACAGCCAAGAAGTCATAAAAGACTGAAAGTCTTACAATCGTACATGAAGTTGGAAATCTACTTATCATCCTAACAGAATTAGCTTCTTATCAAAGCATTCACTTCTAGAAGGAAGAACAAGATTCGTTCACAAGTCTTTCAAATACGACCGAATATATGCTTTTTATTCTTACTTTTAGTGGATGAAATACCTTAGAGAAAGAAATATTCTGCAGTGCATATTAGATACGGTGTGATTTGTCTGAAATTATGTTATGTATAATCAGTCAAAAACTATCATATTGCTGAAGGAACTGAAATGGTTTTGTCGGTTTCAATTGTAAAGAGAGTATGAATGCCAAAAAAGATGTTCTTTGTGCCCTTGGGAAAGAAATAGGAAACAAAGAGATGTAGCATCTGTTCAAAACCTGTTTGTAATTAACATAACCACGGTAACTGTGTGTGCGATCTGTAATAAGAGAAATACTGTTTAATAAACAAATGTAAAGTATTTTGAAAGGTCGTTATATCAAAGAATTATCTTAGCGAGTTCTGTTTCATTATCCACATCAAAAAAGTACACCTGAAAGCGCAATTCTCTTGCAGACACTCCCGGGTCTGCTGGACCCCACTTACCCGGTTGCGTGATTAAAATTGGTTGCCCGGAAATTCCGTAGACGTTAATCCTAAAGCTGCGCGGTTGGATCCCGCGTGCTTTGGCGTGGGATGAGGGCGCTTCAGTGTTTGTTATAGGCGAGGGGGTTGTTGTGCATCTCCTTTCTACTGTAACCGTCCATTATCCTTTGCCTGACCGGGGCCTTAGGTTGAGATCTGTATGCGACTCCTTACCCTCAGAACAGTAGTACAAGCAGGGATGGCAAAAAAATCAATTTTCTGCTTTAGATGCTTTCTTCAGATCGATATATTTCTTCAGCAACGTTTTCGAAAACAATTTCTCATGAAATAAATAAAATTCCCAGTTTTTTATTGAAATCAACAGTCTTTCACTGTCACTGTTGTCGATCCCCAGACGGTTTGCTATTCGCAACCTTTCTCCAGCCTCTCTCGCAACCTTGTTTAATTGTTGTTGTTTTTTTACTTCAAACTGAAAAAGTTGTTAAATCTACAGAAAGAAAAGAAATTAATTTGATTACGATTTTTGTTGATGTTTTCGTCGACATCGAAAACCTTTTGTTGGTGTACCGAAGTTTTGCTAAAAGTTTCCATCACTAAGAACAAGCGACGAGATAGGATGAGTTACTGCTGACATACAGTAGTACTCAAAGAAACTGCATCACCTAAAGAAAATGGGCATTCATTTTTCCTAATTCAATCTGCTCTCAAAAATTTTAAACAAATAAGGTAAATGATGCAAATACGGCCAGTGTAGGAAATATGGCCTAGTAGCGGCTGCGTTGTTATCTGAAAATGTTTACCATAGATAGTACTAGCATGCTGTCTGGAAGAGCGTAAGAAGTGCGTGAGCCCCCTACAAGGCGTGTTGGATTGCGCATTTGCAATCTCGAGCCTCCATTGTCAAGAACGCGCTGATGGAGCTCTGTCCTGATAACTTCTTTCCAGGTAATTTTATCATTAGTGAGACTCGTAGGAGGATTTAGTATTTTGACAGTATACATCAGTGTTTAGTGCAATGTTTTACCTGCGTGTGTGATATTTTATAACAGGGTGTAGAATTAACTATTAAAGGCAAAGAACTTTCATTTGTCCTCATTTTCAAACTGATTAAACTTTTTTAAAGTTTTCAAGCAATTACTGATGTTTTCAACTTTGTATAATAAAGTTTCATTGTAGAAAATACTGAATTTGTTATGAGTAATCCAGCAATCATTGTATTACTGAAATCATGTCAGGCCGTACTTTAGTAAAATTAGACTTAGAGGGTAATTCATATTACACTCGTACATTAGTATAACTATCCCTAATTCTATGGTCATGCTCCAAGAAATCAGTTAATTTGACAATGGCCATAAAACCTGCTCGTGGGTATATTAACTTCACAATACAATGTTTTAATAAAACAAAAAAAATCCTCAATCACTTTTTTGTGATAAAGCTATTTGAAGCAAAAGTGTTAAATTTCGTCATGAATCTGTTAAATTGTCCAAATGTTAAAATATATAACCAGGAAAATTTGAGATGCTTAACATGGCCATATTACCTTCACATACTTTATTAGTAGAAATTGATAATCATATATTTTATATGGATTATATGATGTTTTCTGATTCCATTACCTTCAAAACTCGCTCGATTTTTGTAAATGAAGAGGAATATTCTCATGATTATATTGTAAATTCCAACATTCGAGAAAAGCGATGCGGTTCGTTTGAGCTCTAGTGTAGACACGGGAGCGGTATGTGCCTGAAGACTTGGCCGGGGTGCGCGGGGCAGCTTCAGCCGAGGGGTTGTTCCCAGGGCGCGGGGAACTGCCGGGACGCGGGTGGAGCGGCCGCCACTCAAAAGAAAATGTTACTATAGGAGAGAATGAGCCAAAATGACAGTTATCTAAACAAGTGAACATCAGAGAAGTATCCCTCCGCCGCGACAGCTGTTCAGCCACGCCTTTTTTTTTTTTAATTGTTGCGGCTATGTCGACGCAACGCGTCTCCAACTCCTTAAGGAGCGATGAGCGCACTGGTGTAATCCTCAGTTAATAAACGCCCTCCAGGGGCCGATATGTTGTCAAGTCAGGGAATCGCCGACAGGTAGTCTTCGCGCTCGCATCATCTACCCATCGGCCAGAATTGGGAAGGAATAAGAATATGGGTAAGGTTTAGAACGCTTCACAAGGGTTGGACAAGCCACTTTGAAGTGAAGTGTTTGTACATACCTCCCCTTAAAGCATCATGGCTCACAACTGTTTAATTATATAAAAAAATAAATTAATAAAACGCTCGCCACCTCTCCACTCAGCAGTAGGAAACACGTGCGCCAGTACGCATATGATATTCAAGACTAAGTTTTCAAATAAACAAAATACTTATCACACAAAAAGTAAATTCAGAAGTATGCTTATAGAAAAAGAACTTCTAAAGAAGAGAACGGTAGCATACCACTTTCTAACTTCAATTATTTGGGGAAATATATTTTCATCCGACGAGGACGTCACAAAAGAAAGCGTCGATGCCATTTACAAGTTAGCTAACTGCAAACGAACGAATGGAGGAAGGAGAGTCCAATGAGTTGAACACCGACGACCACAGAACTTTCGGTAATGTTGCCTGCACTAGCACGTACTAAACAGCAATTCTTATAAAAATTGCTGTATAGTACGAGAAAGGCTCTTTTATTTTATTTATCTTATAGCAAATGCACTCCAAAAACTACTTATCACAATCAAAAACGGCACTGGGTTAAATTCGATCATAGAATAAATTATTAAAATTAACTATTAATAATTTAATAATTAAAATTAACTATTAATAATTTAATAATTAAAATTAACTATTGATAATTTAATAATTAAAATCATTAACTATAAAAATGCATTGTTGGTTAGCAACATGGTCACAATTTGGATTTCTTTACTACTGAGGAATATATTCTCCGAGCGTAATGGCGTCCAACAAGGTGACGGGAAAGGTGACAATTATATATGAACAAAAACGGTACATCACGGTATGACAGCACAACAATAAAACGTTCAGTCTTCAATACAGTGAATCAGTCTACAATAAAATGCCAGTCCCTAGAGAGATCGTTCAGCTTCTGAATCCGTTGAACAGCCGACGGTGTCAGGCCTAGGAAGCCAGTCGGATCCCCGCGATAGGCTCCGAGATCACGTCATTCCACCAAGAAACGCACGGCTTGGGAGCGCCACACTCAGTCTGGAGACGGCGCGGCGCCACATTCCTGTGGCTGAGGGAAGCCGCGCATCTCCCGAGCCCATTTCGAGTGCGGTTTGTCGTGAGAGGCACGGCAAAGCCCGAAGTTTTTTGGCTGATGTGAAGAAAATGATGGATGGCAGCAGACGTGTTAGCAGTCCAGTGTTTCTCCCATTCTACTCGGATTAGGAATTCGCTCTTGTTTAAATGTGCGGGTGTGTGGCACTCGTTGCACCTGTTCCCTGGGTGGTGCTAAAGGGCAGCCACCAGCTGAGACGTCGGCTGGTACTGTGACTATCCTTTGGGCCTCCTGGCTATATCTGCGAGAGCAAATCAGAGATCTGCTTATGGAACATTGGCTACAAATATCGATTTTCTCCGTATTTGCCATTTTAGTGTGGAAGGATCGAGAAAGGTTGTGTCATTATGGAGCCCCCACTAGTTTCGGGCTAGAAATCGAATGAAAATGTGGAGAAAGTTGTGCAAAAATTTTGTTTCATAGTATTTATGTATTATACTGTTTGACAAAATGTAAATTGCACAAATTACAGTAATTTGTGTATAAAAATGTTTACCTTGATATTACCTGCTGCTTAAAGTATATTTTTTTCCTTTTAGGTAATATGTACAATGGAGAAAATGATCAGCACCCTGTTCAGCAGCAAAACCTGGGAGAAACTACATTGAAACAAATGGTGAAATGTGACGATTTTGGCCGGATTCATAAGGTCTTGCATGCCCGAGTGCCTATTCTTAAATTTTTCCATTTGCCAACCGGCATTTATGGAGACATAGCATTTAGAAATGGATTAGGTGTTGAAAATTCTAAACTTCTCAAGTGAGTATGTAGCAAACTAATATTGCATTAAGCTCCAACGTGTTCAAAATTTTCTTTAAAATGTCCTCACATTTTTGTCTCTCTAATATTTATAAAAAAAGCGGTGGTCCGATTTTCAGTAAACCCTATTAATTTTCGAAATATTCAAAAGTTAAAAAAGTTATGAACATCCACATGCAACTACATTTTAAGATCAACATACATTTGTAAATGAAATCAGTTCTTCAGTATTAAATCGCTAACAGCGTTTTCCATTAGTTGCACTGAAACCCGCCCTAGCTAAGGGCAAAAACGTCATCGCTCCGCAACAGTGCTGCCCCACGCGTGAAGTCATGGCGTGTGCGCTGCGCGGTATAAGAAAACTTAATCCATAAATGATTAACGTGTAATATCTTTATTTAAAAACAAGCGAAAAATTCAAACGCATAGCTGTCGAAGTTTCATTTTTCGTGATACGCTAAATTAATCGATATAATAACTAAATTTTGAAACTAAAGGCTTCTGCAGAATTGTTTGATTATTGAAAATCGTAAAAATATTAATATGAGCATTTCCCCGCTGGCATATGTGTAAGCACGCGAGAAACATTTTTGACACATATATTTGAATGATTTTGGTAGGGCATTAGTCCCTATTTTCAATTTTACTTTATTAGCTTTTGGAAATTGAGACGAACTTTGGTTACTTAATAGCACTGGATTTATTAACATGAAGTTATTCAAGGTTTAATTTTAGGAATAGTACACAAACTGATTTTTTGAACTTCGTGTACGTCACAAAAATTATTTTAAGATATTTTGTGTAAAACCTGATGTACTCAGTCATTCTAAGTGTATCTGTGTGACAAAAGATCAATTGCCTTTACATTTTCTCCACGAATCGAAATAATAATTCGTAAATTTCGTTCCTAACCTCAAAATGGCTGGTGCAATGGACTGCACTGACGAGCTCCTGAGCTCCTCCAGGTTAGGGCGCCCCGAGCAGGCCCCGAGTGCGCACTGGTTCCGAGTCGTACGAATGAAACATGGTCATATTTGTCCTGGACCGCTCTAGCGGGGAAATGGAACACGTAAGCTGCCCTGAGTGCGCACCAGTGCACCAAATGGAAAACGCTATAGCGTTATGTCAATCACTTACTAACGTAAGAAGAGAGTATTGTAATCGTTCGCTTGAAAACTGCAAATTTTCAACACAAAAACTATTATTGCCGGAACGTCGCAAGGAAAAAGTGGATAAATCCTGTTCCTAACTATAAAAACAAAATCTTTTAACATGTGGTGTAGCCAGAATCCATGTTTTGTGGGTGGGTCCTTGATACTGAAAAATCAATTGACGGCAAAACGCCTCTCTGTCCGTCCGTCAACAAAGCTATCGCATAAACCGTTCAGCCGATTTTCTCGAAAATTGATATTCCTCAATCGATTTAACTGGAATATCGTGGACCCTGGAATTTGAAATTTTTTATTTGGTGGGTTCTTTGCATGAAGCCCCTGAGACATTTTCAAAAAAATGGCTCCAAACTTTTGATTAAGTTTTTTGTTGAATAGTGTAAAGGACGTCTAAGAGAATGGAGTAGGTCTCATTTTCGTTGACATTCCCGATTTTTCGAAAATTAGAAAAGAAAATTTTAAAACATCAAAATTCAAGATAGATACTTTTGTCTTGTTTGTGTACAAAAGTTAGCTCTTCAAAAAAGGACATTTACAATTTTTTGAAACGTGTAGTTTATGCATGTTTTGCAATTGAAATTTACAAAAAACAATTTCTCAAAAACCGCTCCAATTTTTTTTTCTTTAAATTTTCTTCACATATGTAATAAAGAATGGAAATAAATATGGCGCTAGACTCCTTTTCGGGTTTTGAACGGTTTTTTCGAAAATTGCCAAAAGCATTTCACAACTAGAAAAATTAAGATAAGAGATTTTTGCCTCAGACAAAGTCTGTTGTACAAAATATGCGCTTTAAATAGCTATGTACACTTCTTTTTCTTTCTTTCTTTTTTTTTTTTTTTTAGTGTAGTTTTTGTGTCATTTCTGCTTGAAATTAATGAAATATATACAGGTTTCACACCAATTACAGGAGAAAAATTGAATGAATGATATGTACAATAATTTAATTTTAATTATAATTTCCTATTGAAAATCCATTATTTATTGTATTCCTCCTTTCTCGCTTTTTACTTTACCGTATACGTAGTATAGGAGAAGTTATGTATTGCTGGAGAAAATCGATTTCGAGATTTCAACGAAAATACACGTTTTGAGGTGCCCAGGTACCGAGAAAATGTCTCTTTCAAAACGTCCGTCTGGTGTCTGTGAATTACTAGCAACTAAACTGATATTTTCAAATTGAAGAAACCCATGTCCATCTGGCTTGAGTCAACACTTTTAGATTTTGAAAAACATTATTCAAAATTTGGGGATACTTAACATGAAGCCCTCTGGACATTTTCAAAATTTTCTCAAAGACTGCTCTAATTTTTTTCTTTAATTTTGTTTTAAGAATACATATATTAATTTTGTTTTAAGTAACATATACCTATTAAAGTGGCATAGGCCCAATTTTCACAGTTAATTATCGAAAATTTCAAAAGTATGAATTTTTTTCGGTGTCTTCCTACAACTACAAAATTAAAGTTAGAGATTATTCCTTAAAATAAAATTAATTCTCAATAGTGAGTTCATTCATTATTGTCATGTCCATTTTTTAAAAAAATTTAGTAGTCTTCATGCAATATTGCATGCAATATGTAGTAGTGGCAGCAGCAGGAGTAGTAAAGCGAGTATTCTACAGCTGTCGCCATTTCTCGCTGCCTATTCTCCATTTCTTTCAATCTCCCCAGGCATCATCTAAATCTCACACTGCCATCATTGATCTTACGTTTTCCTCTGTATCTTCTTTCTTCAGGATGATATTCCCACATCTTTGGTCCACTGTACGACCTTCAAATGTTCGTACCATAATAGCGGCTTTGTTTCTATCTGCTCTATGGTTGATTTTCCAGGTTTCATTATTTCTGTTTTTCTTTGATTTTTAATTCTTTCCTTTCTTGTGACCTGACAACACTGTCTCTAATATTCCATTTCCATTCTTTGGATCCTACTTCTATCCTTGGCATTAATAGTCCATAACTCAGCTCCATATGTGAATAGACTTTCAACAATTATTTTATATAGTGTAATTTTTGTGCTTTTTTTATGCTTGAATTCCATATCAATGGATCTTATAACTTGCCTGCCTCTGTTTGTTTTGTTCAGGACATCTTTGCTATCATGACCATCACTTGTTAAAATTACACCCAGATAGTTGAATTCCTTTTCACATTTAATTATGTGTTAAGGTCCTGACCTTTGTGTTAACAGGTCCTGACCATTGCTTCTCACTCCCATATATTTTGTTTTTGATATGTTAATGTCAAGTCCCCGCTATTCTTCAGTTAATTTTCGAATCGTGTAGTGGATATCTTCCTCATCACTGGCTAAGACCACTTGGTCGTTTGCATACATCAAGGTATATAAAAAATCTGAACCAATTGGTATTCCCATGTCCTTACACTTTCTCTTCCCGGTGTGAAGAACTTGTGTAAGATATATTGTAAAGAGAGAAGAGGATATACAACAACCTTGCTTTAGGCCTTTGTTTATTTTAAAAGTTGAAGAACTACTTGAACCAACTTTTGCAATTTGCATATAGACGCTTTATAGCATTTATATTCTCATCTTCCATAGTATCCCACAGTTTAGCTAGGGATACTTAAGTCAAATTCTTTTCTCAGATCCACAAATACCATATGAATCTCCCTGCCTACACTGATTTTTTTTTCCATAATTTATTTTAGATAGAATATATTGTCAATGCAAGATCTCCCTGGGCAAAAATCAATCTGTTTCTCCATTTCCTCCATCTCTGTTTCCAATCTTTCTCTTAATATCTGGCCATACAGACTCCCAATTGTACTGGTAATTTTTACACTCGTTCTTGTGCAATTAAAAAAAAATACACAAACTAGATTTTCTTCCCTCTTTTCCTCCTTGCTTTTGCCCTCCGTCTCTCCTTTTCACCTCCATCCCTCCTCTGATCCTATTTCAATTTTCAATTCGAAATTTTGCGTATGTGACTTCTTATACTACCTCTCTTTCAAATTATATTGGAATCTTATGTTATTTGATATTTTCATTGTATATATTATAAATGCAATTAACAAATACATTATCTATTAATAACTAACCGTTACTTCATTAATGTATTAATGTGTAGATTTCATTTTATCTGAAATTATTTGATAGTTGGTTCAAATAAAGTGTGAGCAATAATATAATAAATAATACGAGACAACGACTCTCGTATAGTAGGAATAACTTTGTCTTTTCTTTTTCAGCTTTTTACAGAGTTTGGACAATAGGTTGCAGTCATTATTTCTTTTTGTGAAGATGTGGGCTCGTCTGCAATGTTTACGTAGTGTATCAGAGCCCCATCATTTTACCAGCTACGCTCTTGTTATGATGGCTGTCTTCTACCTCCAACAACTACCACAACCAGTATTACCTCCCATTAAGAAATTAATGGAGGAGCATAAAGGAGAGCAACAAGTTATAGCTGGTAATAATGCAAATTTAGTATTGTGCACTCCCATGTAACTTCAGTTGTTTTGTTCTACAAAAAACAAATGCATGTACTTATGAAAGTGCTGTGTGTGTGCGTGCGTGTGTGTCATATATATATATATGTGTGTGTGTGTGTGTGTGTATATAACACACACACACACACATGGAATTGAAGATAGGATTAACTGGTCTTTACATCATTATGAAGATTCACCAGCTTGTTTTTCATTTAACATATTATGTTGTAATTCCCTAGATTAATGGTAAATTTCCTTTCTTATATAAAATAGTTTTTCTAAATGGACCAACATAGATTAAAATAAAAGCATTTTACTTTCTTGAATAAACATCTGTATATGATATATATCAGAATGTTCAACCTTCTAGGCATATTTTGTAGCTGTGCAACTTCATTACATGTCAGCATCATTCATTGCCTAATTGGTTAAGAAAGTTATGTTTGAGTGCATTTTAGAATAAAATTGTGTTTGTGTACAGGTTGGCCATGCAGCTTCACCCAAGATAAAAAAGTTGTCCCAAAAACAAGAAACAGTTCGTCTCTTCTGGAACTCACCAGAGGCTTCTTTCATTTCTACCAGTTCTTCCATTTTGAATGGAAAATCATCTGCCCATATTTAGGAAAAGCAATTGAGAGGAAGGACATGGATGATATTTTGAATCCAGAGGGAGAGTTGGGGTATTTACTGCCAACGTATGTCAACAACCTGCAGCAAGATGATGGTGAACCATTGCATACACGATCAGCTGTTTGCATTCAAGATCCATTTGAACATTCACATAATCTGTCGCGTAGTGTCAAAGATGAAATTTTGATGAATTTTATCTCTTCTTGTGGTCTTATGTATGAGAAGTTTTGTACTTTCTCTTAATCTTTCTCTGTATTCTTGACAAATAAGTTATTTAAGGACAGCTTCAAATTATTTTTCAAATAACAAAATTAAAAAATATTCTTACATTTAAAGGTTTATCAAAAAAATAATTTAAGTCTGCTTTGCAAGTGTATTTATAGAATCTTAGTGTATTTATAGAATGTTGAACCTTAAGTTATTTTTTGTTTGTCTTCAAGGATAGCATGATTTTTTTTTCCGGCAAACAGTATCTTGTATGTAAATCTTGGATATAACAAAGTAAAATGATACATTATATTCAGTAAATGCTCTCATGGAGTTACTTAAGACTGTTACATTCATAAGTATTTTTCCTTCTTTCATACATATTTGTTTGCACATTATCATGATAATGGATTTATTCTGTGATTAAATTGGTCAGGTATTTTAATTATAATCTAAGATTTTGACGTATAAATATGAGAGAAATGCCTTTCAATTTCTGATGAACAAAGCAGAAATTGCCATTAAACCAATTCTATTTTTAAATCAAAAGTTCTGAGGAATGTTATCAGAGCACATTAGTATAGAGAGTTATGATGTGATGTGTTCAATTATCAGTATTTTCAACTTTTGTTTCTTAGAACCTTCTCTATTTTGTAGACATACTCTTACACTGTGACCTCAGGTGGAACTGTGATCCCATAAGAATGCCAAGTGAAGATTTGTCTTCTGCCATCAGGAAATGTGTGTGCATGTATAAAGGAATCTTTAGAAACAAAGCCCATCACTATTTCAGGGCTTCCTGAAAAAGAAAAGAAAGAAGAAAAAACTTTAAAAAAATTATGTCTGAATGATTTGCTTTAAATCAGTGAGCATTTCTACAAGCATGCATTTATGTGGTTTTCTATTTCCTTTGCTAAGTTTTTCATTGGAAAACTTTCAGTTCGTTGATGGGCATCAGAGTCTCCACATTCAGTGGCAAGCTTGAGGCTGTATTTGTATTATAAATATTACCAGTAAAATAATACTTGAAATGTTTTTTTCAGTTTGTTACTGCTCCAAACTGCTTTTGTTCTAACAAAAAGTGACTTTATTTTGAAAAAAGACTGAAGGGAACGTTACCTATGTACATGTACAATGAGATATTCAATGTTGAAATGTGAAATTATCACTCATTTCTTCTTTTGCCAATGCAAATGCCTTTTGTTTCTAGGTTTGGACACTCTTGATCTGATTATATTGTTATTTTTCACTCAGATGTACACACTTATAGCAATTGTGTTTCAAAAGCCCTAAAAGTATTCACTTTTCATATTTAATTTCCAAAGAAGTTGTAAATAATTTATGTTCTTCCCTTGGTTTTTTGTTGTTTTTTTTCCTCCAAATTAAAAAGATATAAATTTTAGGTTTTAGTGTAAGAGAAACTGTAAATGTTAGTAAATTATTGGAATAACTGTTATTTGTACTGTTATTGCCAACTTGAATCTTCATTTTATTTTAATGTTCTTATAATCTCACTAATCTTGGAAGTAGAAAGATGTTTTTATGTCTTCCATATAAATTGTAGTATTACGATATTTAGTTCAGCAGTAAATTCATGCAGCATTTCAAAAAAGAAAAGCCCATAAAACAATGTATTGCATTTTGACTCCTTTCTTTTCAGTTAATTTAATTTGTGTTATTCTTCTTTGTATTCAACCATAGATCCATGTTACATTTTTTCTGCTTTTTACTTTCCCTTTATTAGATAAACATTTTTATTTATATATTTCTGTTTATTTACATTCTTAATATTTTCCTTTTCTTTCAAGTAGTGTTGTCAAAAGTTAGATTGGGCCCTTTTAATCAGACTTTAGATTTGCTAAAAATGTGAGAAGTGTGGCAAAATAGAAATTGAAGATGAATTATTTTTCAATCATCCATTATAGACCAACAATTGGATGTATTCACCTAGAGAGATGACTGAATTAAATAGTTACCTAAAATATGTTGCAATATACTTTGGTTTGGGATTTACAATAAACAGTCTAGAAGAGGCATATTGAATTTTTATTTTCATTCAATTTTCAACACACAAGGAACCTATTTGTGGGATTCAATAAAAAATAAAAACATGGATGTAAGAAAATTGAAGATGCAATAAAGGTAACATAACAATTGAAATATTTTTTTTTCACATGCTGCTCTTGCATAATAGGGGATTGGTTTAGATATGCATTTTTAATTTTGATTAACAATTAAATCAAATGAAAAAAAGTTACATAGTATGACTTTATTGTGACAATTACTTTTTAAATATCCATAAAAAAGTAAAACTTTTGCTCTTCACAACTGAACAATTGAACCTAGTGACTGAATAAATACATATATATATACACACAAATTAGAAGTATGTGCAATATGGTAGAAAGTGTCCATTAATCCTTGTACCAAAGAAAATTAGTATTATTTTTGTTTATAAACTTAACCATTCAAGTGTAATAAAAAACTGTTATTGTAAGAAACCAAAGCAAAACAATTGTATTAAAGAAAGTGTTACATGAAGTCATTTAATGACCACATGAATCTCAATTAGTCCTTACTACTCAACATTGAATTATTGCATGAACAAGTAGCATGTGTTACCTAAGCATGGATATAATGAATGTAAAAACAAATTTATATTTATGGAAAGGAATAAAATTGGATTGGATAATTTTTCTTGATATAATTTGTAGTTGAATTTATAGAGTACCTTAGTTATGCACCAATTAAAGTACATTATATACCTAATAAGCAATATCCAAACTTCAGTTCATGTCAGTGTTCATATTTATTGGTTTTAACTACAAAATAATTATATTGTACAGAAATGATGTTCAAAATTACAACATTGAGGATTGGAATTATCAGGGGAAATTTATTAAAGTAAACTATGTTTTTATATAGTTTTCAAATAATTACTTTTTTTAATCTTCAACCAGTACATGAAGAATGCAAACCATTATTACATTTACTAAATCTGTTTTTATTTTAAATATATAAATTTCTTATGTCTATAATTGACCAAAGTATCAGAAACAGTTTGTTAACAAGGAAAATGTAGGATTTTAAAACTATTTTCTCAGTTTACATACCCTGAGCTAAAAGTCAGGCTATGCCACTTCATAGTTTCTTTCAGTTTCTGCTTGCATTAGAAGTTGATAATAGAGATACCAGAAATTGAAAAATGTGTAAAAGAGTAATTTAGGTGCAATAGTAAAAATATGTTCTAGGTACGTATTTTGCACTTTTACAAGTAGTTAAAAATATTGATGGCTGAGAACCAGACTCTTCAAAGTCAAGTTGTGTAACAAAATGAAATTCCTGTTTCGTTGTGTTGTATCTCCCAGTCCACATGTGTGCATCAAACCAAATTGTAAATATTCCATTCTATTAGCTAGCAACAAACTCATTCTATACTTACCCATTATATACAAAAGCTTCTTCGGCTCCAACCCATTCCTCTTTCATCTAATATTTCTAGTTCATGCTTTCTTACTTTTTTGGTACCACTTATGCAGTAGAGGGAAAGTTTTTGCAGGGAAAAGCGGTGAATTTTCAACACAGAAACTTTTATTGCCAGGCCCTGGTAACGAAAAGGTTGATAAATCCAGTAGCTAAATTTGGAGGGGAAATTCTCGAACACGTGATGTAGCCAGAACAGATGTTCATGGGTCCTTGATGCCAAAAAATTGATTGACAGCAAAAGTCCAACATTTTTTATTAAACTTTGTTATTGGATAGTGTGAGGGACATTTAATCAGGTGCAGGTTGAAAACTGATTTTTCGAAAGTTGCAAAAGTTCAAAATTTTTACGGCGTCTTCCTACAACTAAAATATTAAAGATACAGATTTTTTTTCCTTAATAGAATCTGTTCCTTATAGATGTATTGTGAAATAAGATCATGTACAATTTTTCAAATATTTGAGTACTTTTTCGCGCAATTTTGCATGAAATATACACAATTTTTAATTTACTTTAAACAATTTTTTCCCCCTCAAAAACGGCAAGAATGATTTTTATTAAATTTTGACCTCGTACGCTTAAAACAATAGTGAAGGTTTCATGATAGTTGATAATTCTGAATTTTCAGCATCTTCCTATAATTAGGAAGGTAAACATTGTGAAGGTAAAGATGTGTTCATCAAAAACAGATCTTTAAATAATATGTTCAATTGTTTGAAAATATTATTATTTTGTGTGAAACAGGCAATAAAATTTGTATTTTCTTTATACCATTTTTTCTTAAAAATGGCACAAACCTTTTTTATTAAATCTGGACCTTAGATAACGTAAATGAGAATGGTGCAGGTCTCATGTTCATTAAAATGCCTTATTTTTCAAAAATTTATAAAAAAATTTCACCATCTTTTTATAACTACAATTGTGAAGATACAATTTTTTTTCTTAATGAAATATGTTAATCAAAAACAGATATTCAAATAAGGCCATGTTGAATTTTTCAAAAATATGAGTATTTTTTGAGTAATTTGGCATTAAACACCTGCTTCGAATTTACTGACCATGAACGTACTACGAGAAGTGATTCCAGGCAGTTGGATGCTATGCTCTTTTTTCATTTCTTACATTTGAGCTTTTGTTATACGTTAATTACAAATTAATATTTTAGAAATTATTTAAAACCTATTTGAAGTATATGAAAGAAAAATTGCAAGCCTTCAGGGAATGTTAGATAATAAAGCAACAATGGCATTCTGCACCGTGAGACAGCAGCTGAATTTCTGTGAATTGTAGGGTATGAAAGCAGTTGTAATTGTCAAATATGTGTTGATATTTGCTTGAAAATATTTAGTTTTTGCACCAAATATTCTATAATTTGTAATGAGTTTTGATGGCTGAAATGTGTTGATTCTGAGAGAATTTGTGGTTTACATAGTAATAAGTATCCATTACTAGGGGCAAGAAAGTAAGTACTGATTTAGCACCAATAGTTTTGTATAAAGTGCATACAACACTTAATACTAATTTCTGGATCAGGTCCGTCCCAGATATAAACAGGTTAATAAGGTCACTGATATTTATTTGCGCTTTAATTAATATGTTTGACATAACTGTTGTATAAAAATCTTTATTACACATGTGGACTTTTCAACATTTCATCAACTGCACACTGGTACTCATCAGATACTGAATGATGAATGATCATTCAGAATATCATTCCTCAAATGATGGGCTAAGAGTGTAGAGTGCATTTCCTAATATAGAATCTGTCAAGATGCATGTTCTTTATGTTGACCCCACATGTGCTACATTTTCTTTGCACTTTCTTCCACTTCTGACACAGCTGAATCTAGCATGGGGAGGGGACTTCATACCCACTAATTATGGGGTTTTATTGGTTTCTATTTTCTTTTTATGATGTGAGTTTTGTTCAAAATATAATACAGTTTATCACAAGTGTGTGTTAGAATTTGGGTTATTACAATCTTTAACAGGAGAAAATCATGACTATTCTCTCAAAAACTGAATATTCAGAATAGATTTTGGAAACATTTGTGGAATTTTAACTTTGAGAATAATATAGTTTAAGACCTTGTCACATTTTGAAGAGGCACTGGCCTTTGTTTGACATAATGGTAATTAAATACAAATATTCATGCAAAAAAAGCCTCCTTATTTTTTGCAGAGGATTAAATTCAATATTTTTATTTTAATAAATGCTACATTATTAGTTATACCACTTGGCAAAACCATCAAAAAGATAGATACAATCAAAATTTTAGCAATAAACTCTGGGGACTCCCATCTGCTCCCACCCCCTGGTGGCATTTACACCGTAGTATTGCCAAGGGTTAATCTCTAGGCATAGGTGAAGATAGCACACCTGCTCTTCTCTAAAAAATAAGGTGAAAGTCCCTCCACGTATCATGAATTATGTTTAGATCAGCAAGTCAGCTAACTCTTCATGCTGATGTCATCACAGGACGGCTGAAAATCGGTAATATGTCCCCAGTGACATTCTTACGCTCCAAATAACTCATCTGCACAATATGTACTACCTACATATGTTACAGCACTTCAAGGCTTGTGTCCCAAGAGTCAAGAGGTTTTGCAGTTCTAAAGCATACATAATGTATTTTTCTCACATACCTTATTTTTAATTCACCATTATCAAAAATAGAGTTGAGATAAGCAATTTTCTGACCACCCCTTTCGAAACCAGTTTTATATGGAACAGAATAATTATACCATAAGAACAATGTATTTTTACCCCCATAAAGATGTCCCCAGTCTCTTCCCAGCCACAAAGTTTTGTGAATGTAACATCACATTCTCTTTAAGACTACTAGAAAACTTCACACTGACATAATTAATTGGAGACTTGTTTTGATGTCTTTCAGATAAACAACCGTGATCAGGCACATAAGATTTCATGATAATTCTGAAGGGGAGACTTTCTAGGAAATGTAGAGAAACTATCGCATTGTAAATTTAAAAGATAATTTCACAGACGCAAAATAAATTCCCTTGGATTATAATAAACAGGAAACCAACTTATGACAATAGCACATTACTTACTATGAATACAATTCTTGAAGTACGCTGTACTATTTTTTTTGTATTCATATTTTAATTAATAAATCCAGTTGATCAAAGTAATTTAATGATGCCATACAAAAAAAACTTTCATTTGAAATCAGAATTATGAGAAATCAGCATTATGATGCCTATCGTGGTAGTCTTGGCAGTGACAGCAGCAGCAGCTGCACATACAGTTTAATAGTGGACTGTTCCCTTTAAGAAGCTGCTCTCTCTAAAAGAGCAATTTTAAGGTATTAATCATGTGGTCGGCTTAGAGAGAATTCACTGTATTTTAGTTTTCTCACAATTTTGGGTTATTTTTTGTGTGATGGGTGAAGGATGGCTGCATTATAACATTGTCAACAATAATACTCGTAGGAAAAAATATGTGCTGTTCAGCACCTCTAGTTTGAATTTGCTTCACAATGTTTTGAATTAAAATAATCTAATTATATTTTCTAAACGTATTTCCCATATCACATAGATATATTTTCAAAGTTGTCCTAAATATAACTTCTTTGCTTCAAATAATACAGATTTTAAGTATTACAATATCCAATATTAAAAAGCAATGTTGTAAAAAGTACTGTAATTTGCTACAAAAGATATTTGGAAACCAATGCTGCATTTCTATTTTCACCTGAGAAATGATATGCTCAAAACTTCAAAGGCCTATTTCTCAAAAGTACCTACAACCTTGTAACACTAAGCCAGCAATATGTTAATACATGCAAAAAGTTTGAGATCAGTCTGAAAACTAAAAAAGTCCTGGTTTTTCCAGGCTTTCTTAAATTCCCTTTTTTCCCCTTCAGTTTTTCAGGTTTGTTAGCCACCCTGGTAAAGTTAAAATAAATAAATCTACCAATTTATGTTAACAAATTCAGCAATACAATGAAATGTCAGTGATGATACTGGAAAATAAATTGGAATACATTGTAAGTATAAAATTTATATTTTAAAACCAAATAAAGAGTTTCCATTACAAAATCACTACATTATTTTGAAATGACAACCTTTGGCTACTTTCAGTTGTTTGTAGAAAACATGTTCTTCATTATCAGTACAGTCTCACAACCCCACTCTTTGCTAAGAGCTTTCAATGCAAAGGACTTTTCCAACTGATCCAAACAACCATCAATAATCTAAGATAATTCTTGATTTTTGAAATGCAAAATGGACAATGAAAAACAAGAATATCTTAAATGTTTTATGACATAAAAAATCATAGTTTAAAATAATGTACAGGCATACAAAATTAAAAATAATCTATGAAGATCAATAAATAATTCTCAGATACACTCGTATGCCCCGTTATCTCCATTGTTAAGGAAGAGGTGGCATTGGCAAATCAGATGTGTCTGGTCGTTCATCATCTTCCACATCAGTGTCTGACAAATAGGGATTATAGGAAGATGTAGTCGAGGTAACCTTCTTTGCTTCTAACCTGCAAATTTCACAATAACAATTGAAATTAAGTCATGTATCATGAAAATGAGTTTATTTTTTACTTCTAATACAAACAATTACATGAAGAAAATGAATTTCATATCTCATTTGTTCACTCAATCAGCTGCTGTCCTAACGCTGTTTCAGCTAACATTCACATAGGTATGTACAGCATCTCCAAGATGGACAGAGGTATTTATGATCAAAGTGGTTGTATTGAAAGCTGAAATTTTATTTTGCGAGTAGGAAATGTTGTGACAAAGCTGTCACGCCAAGTAGTGTTATTATAGGAGCAAATTAAATCACTTTCACCATGTGTATTATTCACAATATTTTTAGACAGCCTTATTGACTTCCATTTTATTTTTATTTGATACTTTATGATACATTAAGGTTAATAGTAGATCGTGTGATCAGACAAAATTATTTTCTCTCTTTTCTTTTTTGCATTCACATTTTTTACCGAACATTTGAGCTTTGTCTTACATGTAACACCAGTGCTAAAAATTAAACTTTTAGCATGCTACACATACCCTGAAAGAACTGCTTTATATGACATTACTGAAGATAAGAGACTTTCTTTGAATGAAACCTGTTCTTCGAAACTGGATTTTTAATAACTCATGCGTTTATTGTGAAAATATAAGTAGTATTTAGCTCTGAGTAGTGGAATAAATGTACAATAATTCACAATTACTTACAGAATATTTCTTACCTCTCTAATTCATCTTCAGTGTCCGAACCTGATTCTGCCTTGCAACCAGAAGATGTATCAACTTCCCAGTTAGACACAGTTGGCAGGGCTAGAACATATTAATTTTGTTATCAGTTTTGTTTTTATAATTGATTCAAACCGAGAGAAGTTCCTAAAAACAGGCAATCCTTGACAATTTTCAGTCTCTAAAATTAATAATAACTTACCGTTCACGAATCTCATGAACTGATATATTCTATGTAACCACATATTAGTTACAATACTCAGTTTAGGACCTCCCAGACCTTGTGTTAATTTCAAACACACACTACTTCACATTAAAAAGGTTTTTTCTGACTTTTTGGGTTCTCTTCTGTAACTTTTTAACCTCACCTCCTTTCAAAACCACTGATATTACTTAATTATTTATAATGAACCCAATTTTACAATTGTACAATATACAGATCATATAAGGTAAACAAAAAAAAATATATATATATATATATATATATATATATATATATATATATATATATATATATATATATACACACATACAAAGACATCAATTAAAGTCATCCACATAGAAAAAATTTGCACCATTCATACATTTTTTTAATCAAAGAAAATATAAATCAATATCGCAGTTTTTAGCAATTCTATACAATCGCCATATCGGTGAATTGAATCCCAGGTATGATTTAGAAATGGGAATTCAATGCATTTGGTTGAGATTGTTTCTTGGAGTGTGTAACAGAATTTTCCTATTGATTAAAGATAATATTTCAATGCTATATATCTCATTGTTTATTAGTTTATACAAAAATACAATGTCGTTATATTTCAAGTAATTATCAATTACAAAGAGGATAAAATTTCCTGCAAATTTGTATACCTTTTTTTCTAAATCTTTTACCAAGCAAGCTTTAGCTTTTCAAAAAAAAGAATTTGGCAAGGTTCCGACGTGAGGACAAGCTTTGGCAAGATTATGATGATTATAATGATAATTATATTATAAATATTATTAATTATAATTATATTATAAATATTATTAATTATAATTATATTATAAATATTATTAATTAATAATGATAATGATAATTATAATAATTCTCCAGATAGGGAGTACGTGACCTTGTACTTGGTGGTGGAGCTAGAATATCTTAATGACCCTGAGAGCTATGTCGGCGGTAGCTTAGCTACTGGTAGTGCCTCCCTTGCCAGACAGATCGAAGGGGAGAGATGAGACTAAAAAGTACTTCAGAAGAGGAAGCAGTGCATACATCCTGAAGTGGCAGCTGCCAACATGGGAAGGCCAACGTCTCTGATGGCGAAAGAAGATGCAAGAGTCCCACCGGTTAAGGAGGCAAATGACCGGACACCTTAAACTTCCTCTTAAGGGAAGGAGGGGCTCCTTAGGCAGGGGAAGCCAACCCTTCTAGGGGAGTCAACCCCAAAGAAATCCTGCATGCCTAGGCACAGCAAAATAGCAGGCAGCCCCACTACTGGGATAACGCTGGCGGTAGCGTTAAAATGCTAGGGGAAGGTGACCCCGAAAAGAAACCAGCGATGGAAGGTCCCCCAAGATCAACCATTATGGTGCAGGGCATCGGAGCCACAGCACCAGCATTCAAGGGTGGGAAAGCTGGCCTTCGGCGGTCGTCATCCAGCGACTGCAAAGACAGACGTGAGCCACTTGGCGTCTCTGACAGATGCATCAAGCGTATCTAACCCCCTTGGCCGGAAGGCGTGAATTTCAGAGATCTCCTCTGGACACCCCCGCAACACTTAGTGTATCTTGAGTTCAAGTAGAGCCCCATGCCTGGAGGGAAAAGGAATGTTATGGACTGGATGCCAGAAAGATAGGAAGCTATCCAAAAACTGAAGAAGGAAAATAAAGATATCATAGAACGTTTGAATGCCCAGCTAACTGTAATTGGAAAAAAATTGTTAAGAAATAATCCTGTGAGAGTAAGGAAAAATTTGGCCACAGCACAAGATGTGGTAATGCTAAAGCACAGATGGCAGGACATCAATGAAAAGCAAGAGTGGATGCATGATAAATTGCTTCTCCTGAGGAAGGGTGTTGTACATGCCGAGAATGCAAGGAACGGTGCTCTATAGGATACGGCGCAAGAAGTAGCAGAAGAGAAGAGAGAGTTCCAGAGATCCTGAACTCTCTGTCAAATACAAAAGAGAAAGAGGCATGCAAACAGCCACAATCGTACTGGGTGAAAAGGTAGCCCAAAAGCTCAAAACGGCAGGAAAAATTAAAATTGGCTGGGTTAACTGTGGAATCAGAGAAAAGTAGCAGATATCCAGATGTTATAGACGCTTAGAATTTGGACATATCCCAACTGCTTGCAGATGTCCCAATCACAGTAAAGCATGTTACAGATGTGGCAAAACAAGACATGGTATCAACGATTGCACTGGTAAACTGCAGTGTGTTATATGTAAAGAGGGAAAGAAAGATGATATTCATCTGTTAGGAAGTAATAAATGTACCTTCTTCATCAGAGCGTTCAATAAAGCCAAAAAGAGAAAGTATGCTCCGATTGCTACAAGTTAATTTGGGTAAGAGTAACCAGGTGTGGGATTTGATGCTGCAGGTTACTGCTGAAAGGGAGGTTGACGTCATCAGTGAGCAACCTCACTGCGACATGTGGTATCAGGATGCTACTGGAAGAGCTGGCATAATAATACATAATAACAATCTGAGTATTGGGAAACACAAGAGAACAAAACACTGGTTTGTAAAGCTGGAAGTTGGCAATATGAGAATATGTAGCTGCTTTTCCCTCAATGATACGATAGAAAAATTTCAGAAAGATATCGTTGAGCTGGAGGCTAGATTCAAAACATCTAAAAGCAAGGTATTAGTGGTAGGCGATTTCAAATGGTAAGTCGTTTGAATGGGGAGAGACGTTCTCCGATAGAAGAGGAACTATCGTATGTGAATTCATTGCAAGAAATGATCTGATCATCCTAAATACTGGGGATGAGTACACTATTCAACATGGAGATTGATTGTCTATTTTGGATTTGATAATTAGCTCCACCAAGCTAGCTAAAGGCATCGCTGATTGGTCAGTGTTCGATGAAGAAGCCCTGAGTGACCATCGGTACATAGGATATTCGGCTCCATTAACGAAGGGGCTGCAACATGTCAAAATGCAATATAAAGGAAGACCACCTTTGAATCCCCAAAACTTGAATGAAGACAAGCAAAACATTCCTTGTAAGAATCCAGGCTGCTGGTTAACATGGGTTGGATGAAAGAGGCGGAAATGCTTGAGGATATGGTTAAGGCATATAGTGGTTGCAGCTTGCAGTGCATCCATGCCTAGACGTAATGGCCGAGGAGGAAATAGCAAATGCATTGGTAGACACCAGAAATAGCTGAACTATGATTGAAATGTATTAAGGCAAGAAGAATAGCGAAAAGGGCCAAGACGAATCTGAACCTCAGTAAAGTAAAAGTAAAGGCAGATGCTTGAAAGTGCTCCTAGAGCAGGTCGATAATGGCCCATAGGACATGGCTTATAAAATATTAATAAAAAATTCAGGGTAGACTGGAAGATACCTGTTTTGATCCACAATGGATGAGGAAAGCTATTAGGGACCTCTTTCTCACTACAGATCCCTGGACGAGACAAAGACAGAGACTTCATAGTTAATGAAGCAGACTAATTCACGATAGACGAACTGAGGAAAGCAGCAAAAACATAAAAAACTTGGAAGGCCCCAGGTTTCAATAGAGTTCCCTGTGAAATACTAAAAATAGTGGCACAGGAGTATCTGGAATTCTGTCAATCTGTAACCGCTGCCTTGAGGATGGAAAACTCTTCAAGATGTGGAAGAGACAAAAGCTAATACTACTCCGAAAGGGCCAAGAGCCAGTATACCAGACGTTATCACACACACCACTGTGACTACTTGAAACCATGGGCAAGCTGATTGAGGGTTTAATACTTTCTAGGCATAAGGGGCTCATATGCTTTTCCTACAGGCAATATGGATTCTGGAGAGGCCGTTAGAGGATAGATGGCATCCTGGAAGTAGTCCATAAAGCAGGTGCAGCCAGAAGAGTTGACAAGAAGAAGGGATTCTGCACGGTCATGGCAATTAGAAACGCATTAAACTCTGCCAGATGGAAGGACATTACAAAAGCATTAGTTAACAAGATTATTCCGGAATATCTCATAAGGATTATTGAAGACTACCTCCATGAAAGGACAATAACTTATGTGGACAGTATCAGACAAGGCATGGACATGGAACGAGAGGTTTGTAATGTCAACCTCACACAGAGATATAAAACCAGATAACATGGTCGACATAATGTTGAGTTCACAGGAAAAATGGATAACTGAGGAAGTAGAGCATCTGCTACCAGCCAATCTCCTACGTAACGTAGTGTGTAACGATGGGTTTCCGCATGGGAAAGAATACGGCTGAAGAAACAGAGGTTAGGTTTTTAGTCGGTAATCCAGTTGGGAGTCAGCAGAAGGCACTGATGTAATAATAGAAAGTACTGCAATAGAAAAGGCCCCAAACTTTGATAGTGTTAACATCACATGTGAAGACAGATCTACTGGTAACGCTGAGAGCACTTGCTTCCCATCAGAATAACATTTATTCTCCAGTAAAGTTGTAGAGGCCCCAGTGATTCAGTGAAATTGTTCAAGTATGATCCTCAAGATAACCTTTTCTTCATGCTTTTAGTGGATGCAATACAATATCCACCCTGGTTGGGCAAGGAAAGAAAGTCTGTAGTGCATTTCAAAAATACTGTGGTGGTCAGAGTATTCAGACAGTCAGATGCTACAGCAGAAGCTATTGCTGACGGTGGAGAAAGATTTTTTGTTGTCTTGTCTGATGGAGAGAAAAGCACACTGATGCAGGATGATCTCTGATACTTTTCAAATTAAATGAGCAAACCTAAATTTCACCTTACCCGACTTCCATCTACAAGTGATGCTGCTCACTATTATTAATTTCACGATCTACCATCAAGTTCAGACATGACTGGGAAGAGAAAATAAGCCTCTGGGGTTGGGGTTGGACGCCTCACACAAGGACTGATTCTGATTAAAACAAAACAACAGGCAGCTTGCTTGAAATGATTTCTTGTAAATGTAAAAAAGGGGGTTGAAGTGGAATGTAACTGCACTTTCCCTCCTTTCCTCACCCCCTTTCTCTCCCTCAATTTGTTTTGTCTGTATTGGAACTGTATCTTTTCTCTCCATCATACAACACGACAAAAAATCTTTCTCCACCGTCAGCAATAGCTTCTGCTGTAGCATCTGACTGTCTGAATACTCTGACCACCACAGTATTTTTGAAATGCACTACAGACTTTCTTCCTTCCATGCCCAACCAGGGTTGATATTGTATTGCATCCACTAAAAGCATGAAGAAAAGGTTATCTTGGGGATCATACTTGAACGATTTCACTGAATAATATAAATCACAATTCTTTTTTTCCTTCTTTTTTTAATTTGTTACTGTAATAGATTTAAATTTCGGAAATTTGAAACGGACACATATACATATATTATTTTAAGTTCCAAGGAGGAGAAGGTACAAAAATTGAGTTATTATGGATGAAGTTTATCCCTGAATATTAATTTACTTCATTATTTCTGTGAATCAGTATTTGTCAATTGAATACCAAGTTTTCTGCGTATTCTTTTCATTCTACCAACAATGAGTATTCATGAAATCAGTAATAAAGAGGATGTTAACATCATACCAGAACTGCTGCTAGTAGAAGCTTGTGGGATTTCCTCCACTATTTCATCATCACTCTCAGGTTGCCGAGTATCATTAATATCCAAAGCAAACCTGAAATAAATATATTCATGAAGAATATTAAAAATAAACAACTTAATTTTTCATACAAACATACTACATAGGCCAACATTCATTTATGAATAGTTCATTGAATAAAGAATTAGGGGTGACAAAATAAATCGACAAATTATATGTTTTGTCTTTTTTACTTCAAAACACAATTTCCTCAATATACATATATTACAGAACAGAAGACAAGATCATTGTGTTAACTTAGAAAATCTGTTAACACTATATTCTACATTTTCTGTTAAGTTATTTAATGTGAGAAAATTGCTGATTAATCAGAGTAAGGTCAAGACAACACTTTATAAACTTCTTTCTCAACATTTTTGCTATGGCAAAGAACGGTGTTGAGTGTCATCAAGATCAGCGGATTTAGTGTTGCTAGTGCATTATTTGTCACGTATGCTTTAAACAATCAATTTTACATATTTAATTTTGTAATTTATTAAACTGTGAATTCAAGTTTCCTTCATGATGTAGCTGAGAACTAAAATCTACAATTCTGTGGTCTCAGGGTAAAAGTTCTTAAGTCAAAAATCTTATTTTGGACAAAACAAGGGTAAGATTATTGAGCTGCTATTGATGAGTGGTATGAAGCTATATTTCCCAACACATTTTTGTCATTAAGAATTCGGTGGTTTTCTAAAATAAAGTATAGATTCTTAACTTATAGTTTCAGTACTTAACACAATTTCGATAAAAATTGACTTCAGAACTTTCAGCCCATGACCACAAAAATAATAATAAACATAGTGTGCGCAAAAACTATAAAATGAACAGAACAAAATAATTTATTGTTTATTTTATACTGAAGTTTTTAAATAAGGTCCACAAACAAAACTTTAGCAAAGAGATTATGACATTGCTGGAATTCTGAAGACTTCATGATGTTGAATCCTAAAAATTTTTCACACGTTAATGTGAATTTATTACGTTTGAGTGTGGCGATTGGCAAGGTCGGTTGTATGATGTGACGCTTTCCCATGTCATAGCCTCTGCAGTGCAGGACACTTGATATCATAATCACATAACAACTAAGAGAATATTTTCTGTTGGACTACCCACTCTATATCTCAATTTTGAGTCAAACATGGTGACAAATATGAGCGTATGTGCTACATGTTACAAGACCTGCAATGACATCTGAAGCTGCGATAACTGTAAAAATGCAATCTGTGAAATGCAACGGCATCTCACCTATGGAATTCATGTGTGTAACTCAAGAACTGTGCACTGATCTTCCTCTGTGGAATCTGCAAGAGTGGACATAGCAAACTCCTCCACTCCAAGACAACTGTTGCTGATCTGAAGTCTGAAATTGACGACCTCCAACGCAAATCTACTGGCCTGGGAAACAATCTTCACTCTATTCACATTTTCAGAGAAACATGCGAATCCATCAATGACGAGCTGAATCCAAAGAGCATGAAAAATCACCTTCAAAAAACTTAGCAATTTCAAAAAAATTACTTTTGGTTCCATTAAAGAATTTATTCCTCTATAACTTTTGTATGGACTACTTTATTGATAGAAGGGTTAGTTTAGATATTACCAAAAAGCATAAGTTATAACAAAAATTTTTAATAAATATATAAAATTTGTCTAACTTTGATGAGTATAGTATGCAAGTGGGTGGTCAGAAAATACATGTCTGGTATCAATGCAGAATTTCACGTTCTATAACATTTATTGTTTTCTATCTTGTGAATTTTTTATAAGACATAACTGTAAAAACGCAAAAATACCTCTTTTGAGGGTACATTTTAACCTCCCCAACCATTTAAGCACAACTCTACCAAAGAGAAAAACCTAGGATAGTCATATTGGACCACAAATCAAGCAATAACACCCAACACACATACACATACACTGTGAAACTGGACTGTGAAAGTAAACAATAAAAAGGAATGGAAGGCCATAGTTGGGCAGGGTAAAACAATTGTTGTTGATCCTCACTAAGAAGAAGATGAATGCCGGTCGCATACTACAACTCCATCTTGAAGTGATTAGAATTTCTAGAGTAATCTTTCTAGAGAGAACTAAGCTGGATCACATTCAGCAAATCAAAATTAACACAACGGCTCTTCTCAAGAAAACTACACAATGAATATGTATTTCATAAAAATCCTCTAGGTAGATGAAGTACAAACTCACAAACTGGAGAAGAACATTCCGAAACACTAACCAGGCCCACCACAACCCCCTGAAACTCAAACCTATTTCTATTATAAACTGAACATTCAAGAATTAGAAACAAACTCACCTGCGCCATGGAAAACGCTTCCTTTTAGAGTGGCACTGATCAATCCAATCCTTTGTAACTATGTGTCCATGTCCTTGAACTTGTTTGAATTTAGGAGTATTTTTGAAGGCACAACTGCAACATGAAGTGGTATAATCACAAGGAACATTGATAATTGGTAAATCATCTTAAATGAATTTCTACATGGTACAAATTAATAGGTTCAAGGTAAAGCATATCAGATCACAATATAAAGAGTGAGGCACTTCATGCAGTAAAGAAACATACCAGTTTGTTCCTTATAATATACACAATACATAATTCCTTTACCGTTTTTAACTCACAAGTATTGATTCCTGTTGAAAGTGTTTTTGTAATTTTCCAATTCGGTTGCAGGTTGTTTGACACCTGAACTCAATCAACACTCAAAAGTACTATTTAGACTCAGGTCACTTAACATTAATTGCAAACAGCAATCATACTACAATTCTCAAGGCTGGCTATTGGGCTAAAACACTGATAGCCTAAGTTGAGCGTGATCATAAGGCCTGCTTGATACAGACCTATCGCAATATGCAACCTTATTCTCTCAATTCACAAATGACCTAGAAATATCCTCAATGCTTCAACTCTCATTAAGCTCATGGACATTATAGAAGAAGTGAAATTATCCAACAAAAAAGTGTTTCTCAGCAAAATCACATAAGGAACACTTGTTTATCTAATAGAGGAGATGGTGGTGTTATTTTACTGTATGAAATGACTCATCTTGAATAGTGTACATGCATGCTACAACCCACCCACAAACCCAATCAAGCACACCTATCTTCACCTTTAACTATATCTTTTTATTTTGATGACTTGCATTTGTACTGAATTATTTGTACCAAATTATTTGTACATATTTGTATGTTTTAGTTGTTGGATAGTAACACTTTTATGCCTTGTATCAAAAGCAGATGTTCAAGTATGATCTACACTGACTTGGAATATCAACTACTTGATGGCCATGAAGAGGATGTCATAGCAATATAAAAACATCTACAGTAAATGACCAGAAGAAATCAGAGCAATATTGAAGACTGACACGATTTTAATTTAATCCCAAAGTTTAAAGGTCAGGCCTGGTGTGATCACGGACAAATATTTCAAGTGGCAAGAAATAATTCAGGTGAAGCAACGTCACTGTGATGGTTAGCTTAATATGAATGTACATCCTTGTGCATATTAATGTGAATAAGGGGATGAAGGATAAGCAAATCGCCAACATGGTTAGTTATTTCTAAGGCTGGAGGAAAGTTGTAATCTCGACCAAAGAGAATTCAAGCCTCAATTAGGCATGATTATTTACCCTGCATTGTGGAATGGTAAGATATAACTTCTCGGCTGTCCGAGAAATAATACAATGACTTTGCTTCTGAATAATATATTATAGTAATGTCAAATGTTTGCTAGGTGGCACTGAAATAATCTGTTTGCTTCAGTACAACCATATGTTAAAACACCTCTCTTAAGCTGACTACATCAACAATCAACTACAACAACCAAATATATCAATCGGTTACCACAAAACCAAATATGCCATCATTTAGCAACGATTTAATTGCAAATTAATTTTACAAAAATTAACTTTTTTGCTCTTAAAATTAATGGCAAGCTAGCTTAAGATTAAGCTGGCATGGTTACCACAAAAACAAAAATGCCATCTTGTAGAACGATATTCTTACTAATTAATTATGCAAAAATTAATTTAATTGCTCTTCGAACTTCTAAGTAATTCATGGTAAGTTGTCAGGTGCGCCGTGCGCCTGCAGGCCGGTGGGTGGACAGGTCAGCCAGCATGCTACACCAACCCCAAACACCTTCTCCACTATGCTTCAGATGAAGCTTTATCATAAAGCATAAAACTATTTTCTACCCAGAAAGTGTATTTGCTTTCTACTGTCATTGTATCATTCCTGGAGACGACTAAAAACTATTGTACACTGGTGTGATTCTGCTAATTGGTGTGTTAATGGTGTTGGTATTATTAGTGCTCTTATTGGCGAGGTTACTGAGCATTTGCTGATGCAAACCATTGGGCAGTTATCCTGGTCAGTCTCCGTCCTATACTATGAACAATCCTTTAAATAGAAAGTCAAATTAAGTTAATAGATATAATTTTAAAATTTTGGAAGCTGATGTAACAAATATTGTGTGTGTGTATAAATGTTTGTTGCATATATTTTTGGTATCAAATAATGTTGCAATATTTTATAAGTAATTGTATGTTTTGCTATTTTATAAAAATTACACTTACATTGAGACGTTATATCTGCTGCTGTTTTCTTGTGAGAGAAAGCAATTTTCTAAAAATATCTGTTCATATTTTGAAATGGTCTTCTGACATTAAGTTAAATAAATAATTAAAACTTACATTAGATGCGTACAAGTTGAATCCCAATCTTGTTTGTATTTTGCTCCCATTTCCAAAGCTTTACTTCTGAGAAAAGAGCGAGCAGGATTTGTAATACCACTGATGACTATTGTTACTCCTTCCAGAAGTTTAGAGAAAGGTTTGCTTTTCACTGAACTTTTTGTTTCCTTTGTTGAATTTGCTGCCTTTCTGTCAGCAGGCGAGGGGCGCTTACCCCCGCCAGATGGAACAGTTGGCTTGGCAGCAACTGGGCTGCCTTTCCCTGAATACAAGTGGAGAAGAAAGAAATTTTCTGATTAAATATGATTAGGAATGAAACTGGATAGGGACTACAAGATCAATTTCTCATTAACGCTAATCATTCTTATACTTAAAGAATATAAAACAGGGGTGCCCAACTCTCAAGGTCCGCAACTAAAACCTTCAATATGGTTACAGGCCATAATTTCAGTGCTCCGACACTCCACACCTGACATTCCTGCCTTGTTTTTCTCGGGAGTGTGTGCAACTGCTCTGAAAAGGGAGGGGGATGAAACCATGCAAAACGAAGTGAAACACATTGGGAAGAACTTGAATTTCTAATTTACTACAAAAAAATTCTTATATATAAACTTTAACATATTTTTATATTAAATGAGGTGTTGGCCCCAGTAGGGTGCATGCACATTGACACGTGGATGAAACAGACTCACTTTCGACTAATAACCTTTTGCAGGCCACAATAAATGGCAGGGTAGGCCACATGTGGCCTGTGAGCCGCCAGTAGGACAACCATGATATAAAAAGCTCCACAACACATTCTAGTGTATGTTTAATACTTTTTTAACAAAAACAAGGAACACTTAATTTCAAAGCTTTTCTTTGCTACCCAGAACCCACTTTGATCCCAGAAAGATTATTCTATGAACATTTATTTGCAAACTTTTAGCTGAAATATATTTTCTAAAAGAATATATATTAAAATGTTAATTAATTTATATTAAAATGTAATAAAATACCAATAGGTTAAATATGTAATTAAAACTAAAAATGTAAAATAAAAAACAATTTCTTAGACAGCAGTAAAAGTGATTCTTTCAGAAAATGCATAGCGTGCTAAACATTTAATTTTTAGTATTAATGCTCACAGAGAGACAATGCTCCAGTATTCAGAAAAATAATAAGTGATTTGTGTTTGAATAAAAACAAAATGAAAGTTGGTAAGGGTGTCTAAAAAATAGTATATGACACATGTGATACACAAAATAAAGACAGTTTTACCACACGTATAATAAATAACCATTTATTCATTCAGAATGTCATGCAAACTTAACTAGTGGTGCTTCAATGGCACATACTTCCTCACATTATTTTAAATTTGCAATTTATGAAAATTCAGTGTTCAATGAAACAAGACCTGCACCATTCTTTTAAGCATCCCTTGTTTCATCCGTGAAAAAAATTTGAAACATTGTTTGAAAAAATGTGTTTTTATATAAATTGCATAAATTTCAAACAGAAATTTCATGGAAATGGGACATTTTTTCAAAAAACCTTCTTTAAAGGGCTGATTTTTAACAAAATATTTTGTTTAAGGCAAAAATCTCCATCATCATCTCTCAGGTTTTGAAATGTTAACTCTTTGCAATTTGCACTAAATATTTTGACAATTCTGTGGTCATGGGGTACAAGTTCTTAAGTCAAAAATCTTAGTATAGGGAAAACAATGATTAGATTATTGAGCCATAAGCTACATTAAGCCAACTAAGTTATATTTCCCAACCAACACTATTTTTGTCGTTAAGGAGGCAACATGAATTCGGTTGTTTTACTAAAATAAAATATAGATACTTAACTTGTAGTTTCAGTATTTAACACAGTTTCACAAAAAAATTACTGATGAACTTTTATCCCATGACCATAGAATTAATGCACATACCACAATCTTAATTTAAATCCATCTAAATGTAAAATAATTATTTTCTATAGAGCTAGAACCTTGAGGCGATTATACTATAAACATTATAATTATTGAAAGAGTGTCAACTACATGGGATCTTGGTGTTGTTTTTCACTAAAATGTCTTTTAAAGAACAACTTATTTTTTCACTTAACAAGGGTAACCAGATGCTGGGTTTTATTAAGCACACATGCCGTGAACTGCACTCATTTCAAATATTGAGATCACTTTATTAGATGTTGATTAGATGTAGTCTTCGGTTGTTTGGTCATTTTGTTTCTCAAACAATATGTCTAAGAATTAACTGTCCAGCATAAATATTTTTGACTTGCTGCTTACCTTGCAGGGGTTCAGGATCCATTTTCAATACACAATTTTAGTATAATAGCGTCGTTTGAATATACCATCATTGAAATCTTACAGAGACTATGTTGATGGTTTTTGTTGCATAAACGTTTAAGAGGTACTATTAATTGTTCACTTTTGCTGAATCTATTGAGTTTTAAAGTTCCTAACTTTAATACCGGAAAACCTCAAATGTTTGCTCAAAAGTTTTATAACCCTTCAAACACAGCTAACAACCCAATTAACAGAATGTGTATAACTGCTAAAAAGTCTGATAAAAATGTTTATTTGTCAAGTGATGCAGCTTTCAGCAATGATGTGAATAATAAACTTTTTAAATTTGAATGAATTTTTATATTACTGATATTTTATTTATTTTGATAATTTATGTTGATTCTCTTCTTTTTTTTTTATTCCTGTGATTTTCATTATAGTACTTCATTATTTTGTATTGTTTATTTTTTTTATTATTGCAAAACACAAGTTGTACTTGAAATTAGTAACTCCTTTATGTTCCTTTTCCTGTAATTTTCGATGTAGTGCTCTAGTCTATTGTCTTGTTTCCTGTAATTGCATATGTATGTACACATTTAATAATATGATTGTACTTGATCTGAACTTGTTCTTAGTGAACTGAACTTGTTCTTAGATTCATAGTGATTCTTCAATGTTATTGTGACATGTGATTGAGATGTAATTTGAGTTACCAGTTCATTATGTACTCACTTAGACAATATTCTGTTAACTTCAAAATAAATTTAAATTTAAAATGCAGAATTCAACGAAAATGATACAAGCACCAATTTTTACCATCCTTTGATAGAAACAAATTTTAAAGAAAAACTTTGGAACCTTTTTTAAACGAAGAAAATAATTATTTTTAAAATTGCTTATACTTCAGGAAAAATTACGCAAAAACTGCTCAAGACAATATTTCAGGACCAGTCTTCAAAGAACAGTTCATTCAGGAAAAAAGTCTATCTCTTCAATAATATATAGTAGTAGGATGATAAAATTTTGAACTTTTTTGATGCAATTTTCCAAAAATTCAGGAATTTCAATGAAAAAGAAACTTGCACCATTCTCTAAAGTGCCCTTTACGCTATTCAAAGCCAACGATTATGCAGAAAATGTGGAGCCATTTTTGAGATTTTGAAAATGTTGAGGCTTTTTGTAAAGTACCTAAAAAATTAAAATATCCTGTTCAGAGTCAGAGTGCCTCACGCTTTCCACTAAGAAAGAAGAAAGAAGAAGAATGGTCATTTTCAATGAATTTTGAAGGTAGTAATGCCAACAAAATTCAAGAAATGTTTTGATTTCCTAAACTAGATAGTCGCATGAAGCACACCAACGAGTAGTGAACACTGCATGAAAATTATACAAACCTGTCTGATTTCCAATTTTGAAAGCAGCATTTTGTGTTGCTGGTTTGGTAGAAGCCTTTGTCCTCGCAGGACTAACAGGACGTTTGGGATGTGTAGGAACTACAGGCTTTGGAGAAGGGCTGGCAGGTCGGTTGTTCAGTGCAGAAAACTTTGGCTTAGGTGGAGGGTCTGGTGTTTGTTTTGTCGGAGGGTCTTTTACTTTTGCAGCCACTTTGTTTGCCATAATCTTCTGTTGAGCGGGACTCAGGGTAGGTTTTAATATGGGACCTGCATTTTTCTTTGGAGATGCCCCATTTGCTGCAGGGTCTGTGAAAACACAACCAATGTCATTAAAATATTGAGGAACATCAAAATTACACTAACCACAATTATATGAAAAATGTTTTATTTAGTAAAATACATACAAAGTTGGAACAAAAAACCAAAATCAAGTTTCAAGGAAATTTTCCACCTTCTGTGGTTACACATTGAAAAATAATAAATAAATAAAATCACAAAATTTAAACAATCAAATTAATTTATAGAAACTGTAAAGTACTTAGCCGATAACATGATCAAATAATGAAGAAAAAGAGAAATGTCAAAAGAGAGTACAAATAAGTTCAAAGAGTACAAACTATCTTGAGAACAGAGAAGTGTGGAGAAGCGGCAAGGAAGAGAATAAATTCAGAACACTAATTTTTACACCTGACTGCATACAGATCCTCATGAATGCGTAAAAATAAAGTTACAAATCAAATATTTAAATCTGGAATGCAATAGAAGAATTAATGTAAACTAGTGGGAACTTGTCAAAATTTGATTGTGAGATCAGAGAAATGTAAAATACTACGCCCAGACTAATGTTCACAAAGCAAATTTTTTATTTAGAATCAAGAAAGAGCATACTTTTCTTCTTTAATACTTATTTTTGCATCTCTGCAAATATTCACTTTTACAGCCAGGATGATTGGATATTATGCAGAAAATCAATTATCTTTACTCTTAGAACAGGTCCCTTGAAAATTTTGGACAGAAGTTTTTGTAAATCTTTTAATCCATATCAAGTAAATATTTTCTTCCAACAATCATTGGATATCATGTGGATATGAAATAAAATATTTTTAAAATTTTGTCTAAAAATTTTTAAGGAACATGTTTGAAGAGTAAAGACAAAAGCAATAAGGCAGTATTCAATCGTATAAAAAAAACAATGATTTTTTATAAATTAACACTCGCCCCCAGTGGCTCCAACAATTAGCCTCAATAGGCTTCAGCGTTACTTACTATGACCATGAAAATTGTGCAAACTAAACCAGGTTTCAAAAACACAATTTTTACAATGTTCATTGTTCTGTTTCCTTGTGGTAATATTTGAATTTTAATATTTTCAATGTCCTGTACATTGGCACGTACAGTTGATCATTCTGACTAACAACCAGTTTAGGCAAATAGTGTCCTCTAATGTTTGCCCCTGAACTTTGATAATTGACATACAAAACCCAAGGCAAACAGAAATTGTAGTTTTCTAAAGCTAAAAGGAAGAGTAGAGTCAGATGGTGTGAGGTCAATTCGGGGAAGTAAAACTCGTTGTCCTACATTTTGCCCTGTAATAATATCCAAATCCTAAGTTTTCATTCATGTTATGAACAATCAGTCTTGGGCTATTAAAATGACCTTGACAAATATTCATGTTTCTCAAATTCTAAACTATTGAGAAATTCTGAAGGGATCAGTAGAATTTCATTTTCCGTAATTAAATGATTAACCCTAAAATATATTTTTTCTTTACCCAATTACTTTAGAATTTGTGTAGTCACAATGTTCATTTTTAGGAGATAGAATTGCAGTTTCATAAAATCTTCTAACATCATTTGGTGGAAAAAATTGTGTTTCCATAAATTTCAGAAACACTATATTTTTGTACTGCAGTACCTTTTCTTCTGGATTCGCTTGCATGCTTTTAGTTATTTAATTATTTTGTATAGAGGCCAAAGCGGGGATGAATTTACTGAATTATGAACAATGAAGGCATGTGGAACTACGGGCAAAAGCTGATGAAAATCATCACCAAGAACAATTACTTTACCTCCAAAAGGTACATTATTATTCATTCTTTTAGAAGTTAATTTACACACATTAATGCAGAACCACTTGCCAGAGATGCTTCATCCCAAATTACGAGTTTTAATGTGATGAGCTTCTTCACTGTTCACTTGAAGGGCTGATACAGATGATTCATGTAATTGAAATTGTAAATTGAATCTACTATGAACAGATCAGCCATTAGGTAGGAGCATAGCAGCGATTCCTGTCCATGCGACAGATATAACTTCAACTCCAATATTTGAACAACAATGAATGAGGCAATGGTATAAAAATGTTTTGCCTGAGCCTCTAGGACCATCTATAAAATAAGCATTACACAAATTGTCATTTTGTTTAATACTATTCATAATTTGTTCAATTATGAGCAATTGTTCCTCTTTAGCTTTTCCATCATTTCCTGTAGTTTGCTCTTGACTTCTAAGCTTCTGGTGTTCGATTCCTCTATCTGAATTGGATTTTCTTTGACAGATAGTAAATTAAAAACAGAAACATTCCATGTAATTTTACAGTGGCTACAATATCAAGCAAGGCCTTTTGATATGCAACTTCAGCGTTATTTTTTGAGTAGATCTTTACTCAGAGAATCTTTAAATGAATCCCACTAATTATTTGATTGCAGGGCTGTTGAAATACACAAATAAGTACGAAACGTCTTAGTTGAATAGGTATCTGAAAAACACAAGGCTTCTTCCGAACGATGCCATTCAGTCATCCATTAGCACACCTCGTTGCATCACAACTTCCTTAAATGTAGGAATGTTCTAATGTCCTCAAAACTTGTGGTTTCAACAACATGAAGCAATGGAATGGTTTTTGTTTAAATTACACCATGCTGTAAATTCAGTGCACCGTCACAGTGCTCTAAACAAAGCTTTAAATGAATTGTCATTGGTAAAATAAGCTTCTTGTTCACGGGGCAAATGGACAGGTAAGCAAATTACATTGTGCGATTGTTCATGCATACTATATGCAAAATTCTGTAAGCAGCTTGACATGCGCTAACATATATTGTATTTAAAAATTTGTATACCTCATCATGTATTAGAATTCCATCTTCTCAAGATATTAATATATTAGCACAATCATGACTTGTAAACATATTAATGAACATATTTCACACTATGAACAAACTTCTACATTAATATGAACTTCAAAACAACACACAAAACTTCTACATTAATATGAACTTCAACAGGAAAGGATTTTAAGGCACAATAAAACTTATCTATCAGAATTTCACTGCCTCGTGTACTTTTTAAGCACGTCTGTCCATTATTCCAAGTTTGAGAGAGCAGGTAAAAAGTCACGTTTTCTTTGTTTTCTGCTGTAAATGTTTTTGGAAACACTTTTTTTCTTTTCCATTTTCCATACATACTGACGAAGGATTTAAAACACCACATGGGTCATGTGTCATATGGGTCTTAACTAAATTGAATAATTTTGAGTCATTAGAATCTGGTACTTCCGCAGAAACAATTTTGTTAATATCAGATATTTCTCTCAATTTAAAATCATTTTCAAGACACAGTAGCAGGTGAACATGTGGTAAACGTCGTTTTGAAACTACACTGTGTACAGAAATGTTTGTACTTTATCAAATAAATGCTTCTGATTAATTATGCAAAGCAATTCTTTCAATTTTGCATGAAAAATACGAACAATTATATCTGGTCTATTGCTAGCAGAGTCAAATAAATGAAAACTGTAGGTAATTTCAGGCCAAGATGAATTGCATGTGAAACTGGTGAAAATATCTGGCTTCCCAAATTTTCTCACTATTGCCATTGCATCCCGGTAATTCTGCATCATATTGCATGGGCTACCAACAAATGTTGAAGGGAAAACAACAATTCGTCCTGCTCTCAAATTTTCATAATTTGCCCGAACCTGTAATGCATTAGCAAGACCAATATAAGTGTCCACCCTCAGCTTTGTTTGTTCGTTGCTAATAAATTCTAGTCTATCACCTTCAATTCTGCAATAATAATCAACAATTAACTGTTGTGTTAATTTCACACTATTTAATACTGGAATAAAATCTCCTGCAGGCAGTGATCCTCAAACAGCAACACATACTCTCTTGTTGTTACATTATTACATACCTTTGTTTTTCGTACTCCATCAGCACATGTGGAAATGTGCCACCCAGTTTCACTACACGACCACATCAATGTATAAAACAATGATTCACAATGCATTGTATCATAGTCTATTTTTTGGAGTCTTCCAACTTTTGAATACACTGCTATATGGCTATGAGAAGGTGGTAAAACAATGATATTCTGTGATGTTGAGTTCCCAAAATTTTGAACATGTATGGCCCACGACCAAGTAGCAAAGCAATATCAGCACCGAATGACACCAAAGTAGACCACTGTTATATTTACAGACATTATTTCTAAAGTTTTTTGATGTGTCATTACCTCCTATAAACAACTGTTTATAATAATATAATAATAATATTTATTTGGCTACAATTGGCTGATTGCCAGGTGGTAGCCATAACCCTACAGTTTTACAATATATGAACACTTATAATTCAAAAACAATTTACCATATAAAAACAATTTACAATACACTCCTTTCGATCATACACTCAATATATAAATATAAAACTGTTTGATTTCTTCTGGCATATTTCTCAAAGGCCAACTTATTTTGCCTTTCAAGCAACACAGAGTAAACTGGTTTGCAGAATTTCTCTCACAATGGGAAGTACAAAGCAGAACAAAAATGACATTTCACAGTCAATGACCCAACAGAAAACAAAATTACCTTATCACAGCATCTATGCTGAATTTCTATTTCCCTAAATGTACATTTGTGTCTTTGGAGCGTGTGGGCAACGATTCGGAATTCTACATAACCTCTGAACAACTTCACTGCTTTAGTACAATCTAACAAAACTTACAGTCCGAATGTTCTCTACAAAACACACCACAATAGCAAATACATGCAAACTGTCAACACCACAATGCAATTATTACACTGAAACAAAACCTTCTCGTATTGTAATCTAACATGAAAACCTCAAGCAGCGCAGTATTCTACTTACCAATATACTTGTATATAGCGATATTGAAACAGCCAGCCTTTGGAAGAAAACAATTGACAACTGATAAGTGTACTATTAAAGAATGATTTAATTAATTTATTTACACCGTAAAAACCTGTTAAACACATCTAGGGATCACATTCTTTCATTTAAAGGAAAAATTAATATATTTTTTTTTAATATAAATATTAAGTATTTTAACACATTAGAACCCATTTGAACTTTTGCATTTCTGGATACAAAAACTACATCATTTCTTTTAGCGTGTTTCGCTCTATCTGAAGATTTTTTTTTAATACAGAGTAATTTTGAGAAAATTTTGATACTTCACGTAAAGTACACACAAAACTCAAATTATGTGTTTCAAATTCAAGGAGTTGCGACATTCATCAGATCAATTTGGTAATAACATCATCACCATGAACCAGAAATTAGGCTTTAAAGCCTGTTGTTATTGCTTTATTACAATATTCTTGGTGGATTATTAGTCTTCCAAGTATTCCTGCAGTTGTAACTTCTTTAGTGGGTAGCCTTTATCTCTAATCTCTCTTGGTTTGTACTTCCAGATTAATTTGCTCTTTGTAAATTATCTTCAGAATCCCTTTTCATAGTTAAGTCATCAGCGTCCAAGATTTTACCTAAGTGGTTAATATAGATGTTGAAGAGGATGGGTGATAATCCATATCTTTGCCTTGAGCCACTTGTTGGTTGTAAATGCTGCTGACTCTTCCCTCTCGTTAAAGTATTTTAATTCTTGAGTTCTTTTAAAAAAATTTTTAATGCATGGGGCAACTAATTTTGAACTTTCCCCTTGTCTAGTATTTTCCAGAGTTTCTGTCTAGGAACTTTGTTATACGCCTTTTCATAATTAATAAATATTATAAAAGTTGGCAGATTCCTTTCCCTTCTTTAGCCTCTTAAACTCTGTATTGTAAAGATGGTGTCCTTAGTGCATCTACCCTTCCAGAATCCACAATGCTTTAGTTCCATGAATTTCTCACATACTGAGTCTGTTCCTTTGCTTACAGCTTAGCTGATGTCAATAGCAATGTAATATGCCCTTATAACTGCCACAGACCTTCTTTGAGCCTTTCTTGTCAATTTTAATAACCAAACCCCTTGCCATTCTTTTGGAATTGTTTTCTCTTGCCATTCTTTTGGAATTGTTTTCTCTTGCCATGCTTTTGGAATTGTTTTCTCTTGCCATGCTTTGGTAAAAATTCTAACAACATTTCATTCAGCTCTTTTCCTCCATTTCTTATGGGTTCTGTATATTGACTACATCTGGTTGGGGACTTTTCCTCATTTTTGCTTTTCTTATTAGTCTCAAGTTGTTCTATACTCAGTGGGGTGCCTAGTTCATCACTCAGAAATTCAGCTTGTTCCTTCTAGCACTTTACACCTGAGAGCTAGGTTGTTCCACAGGGTGGAGTACTTTTTATCCAGTTTTCTTCAGGGAAGCCATCTAGTCTAATCTTTTATATTCATGTGCAGCAGTTTCAAAACTTTGAAACCCATTCGTTGAGGACCTGAAACATTTCTTTCTATGCTTTTAACAAATTTCCTCCACTCTCTCACCTATGTACTTAACTGAGGCATGTCGCTTTGGCCCAGAGCCTTTTACATTCCGTGTAGTTTATCACTGTTAATTTTTGGAGGTAGGTTCCAACTGCTTTATTCTTTCGGTTTATCATCTCTTTTAGATCTTTGTCCCATGTTCTCAACCATTTTCTTAAATGGTTTATAGTCTACATTCTCTTTTCCTGCTTCAATCATTAAGTGAACTCTAAATTGTCTCAATATTTTGTTTCTCTACCTTCTTTAGTTTTTCTCTCAGTCTTCTTTTGCATATCATTCTGATACTTTCATCTTCTAGAAAGAATTCCTTGAGTATAGGAGGTATTTATTATTATTTGCTTATTTTTTTGTTTGTTGTAAAGTAAATTTAATTTTGCTCTCTACCAAATAGTGGTCTGCATTGCACATTCTTGAAATACTTTAGTGTTCTTCACACAGTTAAATATGTTTCTGCTATTACATAATCTGGGGTGGATCTTGTGCCTCTTGCTTCCCAAGTGAATGTTTGGTTTTCTTTATGTTTGAAAAAATTATTTGTTATTTTTAAGTAGATGAACAGACAAAAGTTAAGTAGTATTTTCCCCATTTTCATTTATTGGTATTCCCCCTTGGCCTTTGTATGGAGATTTGATAATCACCAATTCTGACAATAAAACCTCCTGATATAATGACGAGACTATCTTTACTTACATGGTCAACCATGTAAGTTGTAGATCTTTGTAGAAACAGTAATATTCTTCAGCCTGTCCTTCAACTGGAGCTTATTCTCCAATTATATTCAGTTTGTGATTGTTCACTTTTAGTTGCTTTGTTATTAGTCTTGGAGATATCCAGTTATATTTATCTATGAAATCCTTCTTTTCTTGTTGCGTCAACTTAGACACAACGCATCTCCAAACCCCTTGAGGGCGTTGAGCACTTCGCACTTTTGGAGTTAATCTCCATTAATTGCTGCGCAGGAGAAATTCTCCAAAAATTACATAGCCCGTCACGTCTCATCTCAGTCAGTTGTCAAGAGGACCGCCATATAGCATCTCCATGTACACACCTCTCTCTTACACGCTCCTGCGTCACTACCCAGCAACCAGAATTGGGAAGGAATAAGGATAGGGGTAAAATTTAGGATGCTTCACAGTAGTCGGACTAGCCCCTGTGAAACATGTTAACTTGTTTTGTTGTTTTCACAAGAGGTTCACAAATTTCACATGATCTACGGGGATTCTACGGGAATTGAACCTGGAACATCAGTGATGAAAGGCAAGGGACTTTGTCATTGAGCCACAAGAAGCTTCTCCTGTTGCAGCATTCTTTTGCAGCTGCAGCAGCTCTTCCTCTGCTGGAATAAATAATAATAATAATAATAATAATAATAATAATAATAATAATAATAATAATAATAATAATAATGCAGTTTCAATCTGTTGTTACCCTTTTAGTCCTTTATCGAGCACTTGTTAGACCTATTCTTGAATATGCATTGCATGGTTGGAACCCATATACAAAATCAAGAATATAAGACATTGAAAGAGTTCAACATAAGTCCTATGGGTTTTTGCCCATAAAATTGGCCTGACAATTGACCCAGACAATCATGGCTATATGTCATTCTCCTAAGATCTAAATTAAATTATCTTCATTGTTGAAGAAAGCATGCTGATTTTTATTTCTTATGTGATATTTTGTAGGATAGAATAGACTGTGCAGACATTCTTTTTTGCATTCCATTTAGAGGACCCCACCCAATTTTTAGGAAAACGACTTCCTTTTTAGTTGACACTTCTGCCAGTAACTACGTGCAAGTGAGACGATGAATCGCATTTGTGGTTTGGGGAATAGCTTGAGCGTTGACTATGATATTTATGACAACTGGAAATAATGCCTTTCGAGAATTTTTGAATAAACATTTAATTAGTTCTGATTATGGGAAATTTATTAGCCTATATTTACTATTATTTCATACTTCTGCGCTTGTTTGTACTACTTTCTGCCTATGAGATCTTTTTTGATATTTTATATCAACACATGTTTTTACTCTTAATTATTTTTGAATTTGTATTTTTACTATGTAAAGGGTATCACCCGTTACTTTTATTAAATAAATAAATAAATAAATAATATTATCTTCTAGATCTTGAGACCCCGTTTTTCTTTTTCATTTCAGTAATGACAGTTACATTCAAATTTCTTTTCCTAAGTTCCATTTTTAATTCCAATTCTTTAAATTTCTTTAATCCCCTCATGTTCCATATTCCTACTTTTAGCAGGGTGTTAGTTGTAGTTGTTTGTTGTTCATTAAAAAAAGTGATCAAAGATACCTCGTAGGTTTCGTTACACGTACAGTGTGAAACTCCTTCAGAGAAAACTTATACAATGTGTGTACATGCCCATTATTACGTAAATAATTGTTATACATATTTTTATATATCAAAATTTTGGTTTTAGTCTAAAATTTAAATATTATAAACAATTAATATTATTTTTCATATTTCTTTAATTTCCTTAACACCCCACATATTTTAGAAACATGGAAGAATCATTTTTTGAATTTGGTGTGTTTTGCAGTTTTGGTCATTTTTGTAGCACTATTTAGTGAGGAATGCTTAAAACCACCTGGCAACACTTATACTGGCTCTACTAATGCTTTTTTCACTTACTGTAAGTCTCTTATCAATATGCCTCTGGGTATAGATATCTTCTTCCACAAGACTTAACAACAACAAATTTACGAGGGGAAAGATCCATCTAGTTTCCCATTTCACACTGTATTTGTACAATTCTTTAAAATCACTTAATCACAAAATGTCTTCATGTTAACACACCATTAAGCTGCTCTACAACATTTCAAGTTGGTGAATGTTTCACATATTAAACAAAACATCACATCACAATATGGAGTATTAACACCTGTAATATCGCCTACAGAAGCAATTTGTGGGTAATCACAATAGTACTACCACTTCATGTTCATTAGCACCACTCCCGCTTCATAAAAGTTATGTTATTGAATGAAAGATGGTGTTATGTTATAAGAAGGAAAGTTAATGCTTAAAAATTATTTTCAGTGCTCTAAGAGTTTCCTATTGTATCACAAAATCAGAACTACTTAACTTTTGTTGGAAGTCTAATAATTTGAACAGATCTGTTGAGTTGAAACAGAACAAGTTGGAACAAAATGCAGATTAAACTGAAGCAAATTTACATTTTCTATTAAATTTTATTTTAAAATGTCTTACACAGTCCTCACTTTGCTATTTGGCAAAGTGGTAATTCTACAACACAATAAAAAAATTACTTTACCACATTAAATTGAAACTTCACTCACCATCAATGGTGTCAGAAAGCTTCTTTCGTTTTGCAAACAAACTCTCCACATGTATATCATCATCAGCTTCTTTCTTCAGACGAACCTGACCAAGGTTCACAAATGCATTACTGTCTTCATTCTTCAGCTCAGAGTTCAAACCACCTAAACTCATGGGCTTTGGCTTGTCCTCTGGGCCTTTTGCAACAATAAAAGACAATCCATACTGCACTCTTTTGTTGAAGGGCTGAGAACACACAATTTTAATGCGATCCCATTTTTCATTAGCAGTGGGTTTCAGAAAGTCTTTTTTGGTAAACATTCGCACTCGATTTGTATTTGTGCTCTGATCAGATTCCCCAGGTGACATGAACGATGACGCTGGCAAGAGACTCTGGAAGTAAAAAATGGTAACATTACGTGTTGAATACATGAATTAGATCAGTGGTACTGATTGATTGTTAGTGATTACAGGCACGTGAACTACTGATATCATTACTCCCGTAAGTGTAATGCGTCTTCTTTTTTTTTTTTTTTTAATCTGGAGACGGCGGTCTTCACCCGCTGTATGGCGAGATCCGGCTACCGTCGACTAGCGGGGAGTTTCCCCAACCAGGTATCTCCCACCAAACCCAGCCAGGGCAAGCTCCAAGCTCCCGACCGCACAGTGTGTAATTTCAGGCATCTAGCTCGTAAATAATCATTTTTCGACCCAGTTCCTATACATTTTTGGAGAGACATTTTTGTTCACACTATTCTCCAATACCAGAGCATTTTGCAACATTGTTTAATGTTTGGGATCGCATTAGCGCCGCTGAAACCCCTCGGTTGTTGGGGTTCGGAGAAGGTCACTGCGCGCCCTCACTAGGAGTTTCAGAGCGCCTTTTCAACGTGTTCTCAGAGGGATCCGATGCAAGAGTATTCATGCCTTTGCTGAACATCATAGAGTAGAAATGTACTTCACTATGAAACTTTCATATTTCTTGTTCTGTTTGCAAAACATCATTGAACGCATTTGAATATAAGATCGTAACATTTCCAAAAAATTCTTTGACATTGTTTTTGTCGAAGTACATAAAAAAAGTTACATGGAGCGGGAAACTGGCTTGTTTAATTTGCTTTATTATTCATTTACAAGATACAGTTAGAACTAACTGCCCGCAATTGCCCCAATCCCGGAAAATAATATTTTTCAGAAACGATGCAGGCCATCCGAAGAAGCCATTTATTTGCCGTCTGACGAGGTTCTG